AGTTTTAAGTAACTCATATATAGGACTCATAATAAAATATTTATATTTATTTTAAATTAACTCTTACTAAAAATTCTTTTTGAAGATATTTAGTAAATTTAAAAGTTAAGATAATAAGTTAATTATAAATATTTTTTTCTCTAATTACAAAAATTGACTAATTCTAAAAAAAATCATAGGAAATTGTAAAAAATTTAAATGATAATAAATCAACCAAAGTAACGGATAGTGAAGAATCCAAAGTACAAAAATCATAAATAAATAAATCAGCTAAAAATATATAATTATTTTATAAATAATAAAATTATAAATATGTATATGAAATAGGTGTGGTGAAATGTGAAAGAAGTTAAGTTTAGATTACATTTTATATACTATTAAACTTTTAAAGAAAAGTTTTGATTTTTATTGTTAGGATAAAAAAAAATTGTTGTGAAAATAATAATAAACACTACAAAAAAAAACTTATTATCTACTGGCAAAAATCCTAGGTAATGTCATTTTACCAACAGATTTTTTTCCATAGGAAATTCATATGTAATCCGGTCGTAGGTAATTTACCTACGGATTATAATCGAGTAGGTAATGCACTTGCTTGAACAAAATATTTTTATTTACTATAACCCCCTATTTATTTTTTATTATTATCTAGAGCCCCCTCCCCTTTATATTATATTTTTATTATTTATTACATTTTTAGAACTTTGAATTATTATCCGATTAAGAGAATTGTCATCGACAGAATCGAACCCAGTACCTTAGAATTGGAGTATCAGTTTCCAACTCTAAGGTATTGGGTTCGAATCCTGTCAGCCACAATTTTTTTAATTTGATATAATTTACCTACGGATAGTAATTTCGTAGGTAATTACCTATGGAATTACTCACGGACGACATTACCTACGGATATCTCGTAGGTAATGAATAACTTACATACGGATAGAATTTCGTAAGTAATATCTGTATGTAATATATTTTAATTTGATATAATATACCTACGAATAGTAATTTCATAGGTAAATTACCTACGGATGACATTATTTACGGATAATATCCGTAGGTAATGGATACGGATATTATCCGTAGGTAATATCGTATGTAATATATATATATATATATATATATATATATATATATATATATATATATATAATTTACCTATGGATTTTTATCCGTAGGTAATATCTCGTATACAATGTACAATTTACAATTTTTATCCGTAGGTAATATTTTATAGATAATAGGTTTTTTTAGTGAAAGAAGGAAGATGGAGGGTTGGATAAGAATATTATTGTGTTTGACCATTTAGGTTTTCAAATTAATCAAATTCAATTTTTGAAGGTGGTTGAGTTAATTTAGATTCGGTCAATATTAGACCAAATAAATTTTTTATTTTTTTGAAATCATTAAAGTTTTCTTTTATAATATTTAAATAAATTAGAACAAATTAAACAGTATATTAATCAAAATATGATTTTTAAATTTGTTATTCAGTTAGAAATTCACAAAAAATAAGATAGGTATAAAGGAAAAAAAATCTACTACTCATAATTTTAAAAGAAGTCAAATACATAAATCAAATTATAATTCTTCATGATTTGATATCAAATTATAAGTGACAAATTAAAAAAATAAATAAATAATAACTTTGTTTGTCTCATTTTTTTTTCACAAATACTTCAAAATATTAACTTAATGCACTATTATTAATTGAGATAATAATTAGTTACAAACATAAAGATGGATGAGATAAGGAATTAAAAAACACACAGATGGAAGGGAAATAATATTATTTTAAATTACTTAAAAACCATTAAAAAACTGAATTAAATTATTAAAAAATAAAGAAGAAAATTAAATAAAAATTTAAAAAAAATATCAATTGTTTATATAATTTATCCTACTATTTTTTTTAATTAACCTAAATTTTAATGTTTTCTTTAACAAATTTTTATATGATTATTTCTTCGCCTTCTCTTTCAGTTTTGTTTAATTTTAAACTTCACAAGCTAAGGCATATACTTCCCCCTCTAATAACTTCAAATTTAAAAAATTAAAAAAAAAAATCTTATGTGGTTAGATTATGATATTTGTGTTTTGTTTCACTTTAATTCTGATTATACAAATAATAAATTTAAAAAATAATCTAAATGTTTCAAATTTATAGCATGATTAACGTGTTTCAGACACTTTTTTTCCTGAATTAATTAAACTAAAATATAATATATGGAAATCTAGATCAGATAGCACTCATTATAATAAAAAATAAAAAAATAGTCAAATTTGATGTCGTTTGCACAATTTGACTTAATATAATAATTGTACAATATTTTAAGAATTTATGATTTAAAACAGTTTTTTATTTAATGACAGCGTTAAAATTTTAAAATATTAGTAAATAATATGATTTAAAATAAAATATGATTCTCATTTTGGATTCAAAGATGATAAAATATCATGATTACATTAATTTAAATTAAAAATAAATAAAAAATCATAAAAAATTAATTTCACTTCTTGTAAATAAAAGTAATTATTGAATAAAAAAAATATGAAACACATATTTTATCTATAATCATATATTCATAAAAAAATTCCCTTTTATAATTAATTTGTTTATGTCTGAAAGAAAAGTAAAAATAGTTATTATGATTTATATATGTAAGAAATAGTAAAAATGTGAGAGAAACAAAAATATGATATGTTAAACATGTATCACACCTCAATAAAAATATAAGAGTAAATTAATTAGAATTGACTATTTTTAACACTCTTTTAACAATTAAAGCATTAATAATAAAAATATGTATCAACTTAATCTTTATGTACAAACTCACTAAACTACTCTTATACTCTCCATTTCTAAAAAGTAACTAAACAAAGACAAGAAAAAATAAATAAAAATATTTATTGGTTGCTTTATTGGGAATGGAGAATACAAATTTATAACCTAATAATTACTAATCACTCTTCCCTTTTCTCTTTTCCAATTGTTGGTAGTTCCTCTACTGTGTCTAATAAAGCTATAAGTATAATTAAAAAAAAAAAAAGTTATGGAAGATGTTGAAAAATGACTTGGGCCAAACCTTACTCACAGTCCATTGTTTAATGGGCCGTCCTTGCTTCAATAACAAATATTTAGTTTTAACAGTTTCTTTTATTTAATCAGAATTAAAAAAAAAAAAATATATATATATATATATATATATATATATATATATATATATATATATAAGTAATTGATTCTTGCATCTAATAATTTCTTTCTCCACCTCCATATTTCAAGTCAAATATTTAAATATATCCTTCTCATAATTTTATTTTTTACGTAACTTCTTCTACTATATTTTCTACAATTTCTGCACTTCCATCTTTCACACATTCATCTCTTAACTATTTAATCTTTTTGTATCATCATAAAAAACTTTTTTAATAATTAAAAATAAGTAATCATTAATATTATATATGAATTACATATATTTTACTCAAATTAAGTAAACATACTCAAAATATTCAATTTGAAATAGTATAAAAAAATGAGTATAAATTTCATAATACATAATATGAAATATATTTTTGAATTGACTTTTTTAAAAATATATTCTAGAATACCTATTCAGGAATAATGTTATGGAGGTGAAATGTATTTTTAGAAATCAATTCCAAAAAGATGGATTTAGAATACATTTTCAAAAAATTAATTACAAAAATATATCCTAAAAAATACGATTTGAAATATATTTTCAAAAAATCAATTTTAAAAATATATCTTGAAAAGTGTGCTCCATAATATATTTTTGGAACAAAACATAATTTTAGCTAAAAAATTTGTTGCATAAATATTATACATGTAAAATTTTGATAAAAAAAAAAAAAACATTCTTACTTGTTTCTTATAATTTTTGGAAGAATAGAAAGAAAAGAATAAAAATATTATAAAAAAATTAAAAAATTCGTCATTGAACAAAATAAAAATTAAACATGAATGGAAGAAGAAGATAAATATGAAGATAAAATAGGTTTAATTTAATTACTCGACCCACGCGGAAGTGCAGGAAATAACAACATGTATATGTTTCTCTCAGTAAAATTCAAATCTTAACTCCTCATGTTATATTATATGTAATTTTTTTTGTTTGAGTCCTAACATCAATGTGAATTTTTTTAAGAAGTGATTTTATTCTAGTTACACATTTATAGAAGTAGTAAAACGGAGTAATTAATCATTTTTTTCTTATAATTTTTTTATATATAATTTTTAAAAGTATATCTTTAATAATAAAAGTATTTTTCAATTTTTATTCATTAATTAATATTTGTATTAAATAAATTAAAAAATTATATTCATATATTAAATATTTAATTATAATTCAATTAATTAATATTTATAATTTAAATTATAATATTATAAATTATTTATATATTATAATAATATATAATAAAAAATATAATAATTTTAATTATATTTTTTATTTTAATTTTAATATATATAAATATTTTTAAAAAATAAATAAATAAATAAATATCTTCCATCATATCTTTAACTCAGTAAATAAACTAAATTAAACTAAAATTACTAACTCATTGATGTAAAAATAAATTGATGCAACCATCATTTTGCCTACCCTTCACCATAATAACCATGAATCGAGATTCTTCATATAAATAAGTTTTATTTTTATTATGATGAAGTGAATATATAATGTTATTTTGATTCATCAAGTAAAATATCTAATTGTTGAAACTGAACCTTGATTCCAGACAACATTCAAAATCAATTTGATAGAAGGATCAACTGTGTACTAATTTATAGCTACTGGTACATGACACATGTTTATTACTACTAAGTGTGAACATGTACTGAAATAACCAATAATGTCAAGACAAAACATAAGATTAATTTAAAATGACATGTAATCACACAACTAATTATAGAAAATAACAACAATGAATCACCACCAGAAAATGAATTGCTAGCTCTGAAAAGAAAGAAAGCTTTCTCAAGCATAGTCTTGCTTACACACAACACCAGCTTCCGCAGCTCGACGAGGTTTGCTTTTACGCCTGCTTCCATTTTGTCTAAATCCATTACACTTTGTGAAGCCATCAATGTTTGATCCGTTTCTAACCCCATTCTTCTCCTCAACTGCTTCTATTTTCTCCTCTATATTTCCTTTTCTTTTTCTTCCTTCTTTTCTGCTATTGCCATTTTTCATCTCTTTGCTGTCACCACTACCATCCTCTTCTATTTCCTCAATCACTTCTTCATCAAACTCATCCTTCAGCACCTTTTGTGGCCTTCCTCTTCTTTTTTGCCTACAAACCTTCTCTTCTTCACCACTTATAATACCTTCCTCCTCATTACTAACACTTAGCTTTTTACCCTTTCCTCTTCCTCTACCCATAATCTCCAAATCCAACAAAATCTGATCTTACAACCTACTTTCTCTGCCAAAACAAAAATCAAAACAGAGTCACTTTTTCTTTTACATTTTACTTCTGAAAAATCATAAAACAATTTAATTGTATCTAGTCTTCCAATTTCAGGTTCCCATTTCGATTTTTCAGTAATGGAATATAAAATTAAAAGCCACTATATCTATCTAACTATCTATGAAAAACACAAACTAAATCAGGATATAGGAATTTGATTATTCTGCATAATAAATCAATCGACAAAGTTTGAACAAGCTGCGCTTCTTCTAATCCAACCTACTATACACACTGTTGAAACCAAATGTAGAACAAAACATATTGCGGTAACTAATCAAACGGCAACAATAATCCAAATCAATGAAGTATCTGTAGCTATGATAGTTTAGTCATAAAAGAAATGAAAAGGCACGATGATAGCATATTCCAACGAAAACCAAGAAAATACTGACCATAAGAATAAGGATAAGAGCGTTGGCATATCTGAAACAAAGCTGAAAAGCGATGTGGAACCTGGTAAAACCCTAAGAAGCAACAAAAGGTTGATTGATGGTAAAGAGCGTTGAGTTGGATCAATAATTGGGGTTAAGATTGCAGTCGCACAGTAGTGTAGCAGTGTGGCTTCTTACAGATTCACTGCACCTCTCTCTCTCTTTTAATTCAACCCAACTCTATCGTTTCCTTTTTATACATAAACCTAAATATTTAATGATCATTAGTGAGAATCTAGAAATAACAGAGATTAATAAATAAGAAACGAAAAAAATGAGTATGCGGTGAGCGTGTGCGAAAGTTTGAAATCCGTGAGTTTTGTGAGCAATTACTGGTGCTAGGTTGGATTCTGCAAAGCAGCATAAATGTCAAACTCCAAAATGAAGAGTGCATTGCATCTGTCTCCCAATAACCACACCCATAACTTCATCCTTTAAATTTGGACATTACCTCCTTCACTCACTTCCTTACAATGTGTTCCTAAAATCCTTAATCCAAGAAAAAAAAAAAAAAAACTGTGTTATTAAACTTTGTGATGTGAATATAATCCGACACAACATAGTAACAAGAACTGTTTCATATGACTGACTTGTGGATGAAAGCTAATGTTGACACGAGGTTGATAACGACACTTACTCCGTTCCAGCCTGGCAAAACAAGACACGCTAATGAGAAGAGAAAAAACTTTTTTCGCATCATTTAATATTCCTTCGATTTTTCAAAGTATAATTTTTTTTAACACAGATTATATCATTTTAAAACCAATAATAACAATTGCACTGAATATATTATTAGTAGATTTTAGGTTAAGAAACCCCTAATCACAAACTATGGAGAGTGATAGTTTTTTATCATTTTTACGGAATAGTTTTAAAAAATAGAAAATACAATAAATAAGTTAAAAGATAAAAAAATCAAAATCAAATTTAATCGATTAATAAAAGAAAATTGGCATTTCAAATTAGCAATCAAATATAAGAATAAAAAAATCTTCGTTGTTTTTAATATAAATTATAAAATTATCTCATTATTATTTTGATTAAAATTTTGTTAATAATTTAAAACATTTTAAAAAATAATTTAAAAAAGTTTAATAAGAAGAGACAATTTTTTCTAAAATAAAAATAAAAATTGATAATACCAGAACATAAATGCTACTACTAGTGTGTAACATAAAAGTTGTTAGTAATTGCATTTACTAGGTTTTGCCCACCTATAGTCTACACTCTCTTTTTTGGTCGCTGACTTAAACTCTCTGGTTTGGTTTTGCCCTACCTTCTCTTCTCAGTCTCGACTTTTCCATTCTTCTTTTCTTTTTCCTCTTTCTCTCTCTCACCATTATTCTTCCCTTCCCCTCTTTGCGTTCTAATAATTCTCCTTCAATATCTCTCCCTCTTTCTTCCTACTTTTTACTCCTTCCCTATTTATAACCATTTTTTTTTTCATTTTTCCCCTTTGGTTTCCCCAAGAAACCAGACAAAGATCGAAGCAAAAAGAGCACGCATTCTTCTCTTTCTTCTTCCAATTCCCAATTCTCCTGCCCTAGATTTTTTCCCCTTTCCGCCCTGCACCGATCGTTGCCTCCGCGATTCCCCTATCCCTAGCTTTCCCCGATGGAGTCGGAGGATGATATGCACGACGCCAACGATGTCGAGTCCCTCGACGATGATTTCTACAGCGGCGGGACCGATGATGCACCCTTGGACTACTACAGCGACTACGACGACGACGCCGATGATTACTTCGAAGACGCCGACAGGATTGAGTCTCGTCGCCCTGAGGTCCCTCTCTCTCTCTATTTCTTTGTTTTTTTTTTATTTAATGCGAGAATGTTGTGTCTCTGGATCACTTCGATTCGTCGGATTTTTTTAATCTATGTAGCGTTTAGTTGGGAGGAATACAGCGCCGTAGATGGATTTCGAGCCAATCAATTTATATTGGATATCGTAAAATGTCAAGTTTCTGAAATTGTCATTTCGGAAATTGAAATGGGGAGTTTCATGGTTTTGTATGAAGTAGTATTTTGCGATTTCAGAGAACAAATTGATCGATGCTCCGCCCAGTTTCATGACTAAATTAGGGGAATTACGAGTGCCAGTTGTAGTATTAGGGACTCATTCAGTGCGTTACTTGGTTAGTAATGGTGTGGCAGAAATGTATGCCCAACTCTGCTTCATAGCACTAATAATTTTCCTAGTAATATATTGAGAGAAGAGGAGGTTGGTTTTTCAACGGTTAGATGATTTCCCTATTGTTAAGTTCTTTTTAGTCTATACACGAAAAAAATGCTTTTTTTCTGTTTTTCCTTCCTTGGTTTTGCACGGATTGAGTGAGTTATACAATTTCCAGGTCAAAAACTGTTTTATTGCTCGATGGTCCTTTTTTTTTGTTTATTTTTAATCATATATCAGCTTCCCACTAATTTTCATATACCTGTTTCGATTTCAGCAAAACTTTACCATTTTGAAGGAATCCGATATCCAACAGAGACAGGAAGAGGACATCACTAGAGTAGCAACTGTTCTTTCCATATCAAGAGTTTTAGCAAGCATACTACTTCGTCACTACAATTGGTAAATCAGTTTTTTTTTTAGACCTCATTGATGTCCCATTTTTTGTCTGTGTGACTTGATCATACCTTCTTCAGTTGTTCCAAACGTTCATTTTTGTACTGTATTTGTATGATATGTTAGATTTTCAATGCATTTTATATTAATATACTTAAGAGAGGAGTTGGTGTTGCAGGAGCGTCAGCAGAGTGCATGATGCATGGTTTGCTGATGAAGATCGAGTCAGAAATGCAGTTGGTTTGTTGGAGAAACCAATTGTCCAGCATGATAATACTGGAGAGGTGAGATATGGACGGTTGGTTTTAAACTATGATGCACAAACACGTCTCCTATTTGAAGTGTCACAGTGTTAGACATGTTTGCAACACTAGTACTAACCCACATGTTTTAGGCACTTTTCATTAAGTGTCAAATTAGTTTTTGTTTTGGTCATTCAGACACTTGAACTAACACCTTTCTCACTAATGTCACTAATAAAACTTCACTTTTTTTAACACATGGAAAGGTCAGCTTAAAATATAATGGAAAATATTAAAAAATAATGGCTCTTAGTTTTTCTTTTTGATGAATCTCATTGTATAAAAAATGTAAAACTTAGTAAGTTGGTGTTTGAGAAAGTGAATGTACTTCTTTTGAAAGAGATTTCATATTGACTACAAAGAGACTAAGTGTTTACATTGTAAAATATGCCTATTAATATTTTATTTGGGGCTCATTATTATTTGAAAAAGCTAATTATACCAAATATTGTTTATCAATTTAGATATTTTTTTGTTCATCATGGTTAAAATTCATTTCATTTGAGTTTTTTTTTTCTTAATCTCTCATGTCTATCTCTATGATGCCCTAGTGTATATTTTGGGCATTAGTTGTGTTGGGTTAGGTGTCTAGCTTGTGTCTACTGGCCGTGATAAACTCTGAGGCTATAGGCTTCATAGGTTTTAAAATTGGTCAATTATGTAGTTGGATTTGATTTTATTTTCTCCTCTCTCTTGGGTTCTAATTGTATTTAATTATTCTTCTTCTTTCTCTGGCCAGCTTACATGCGGTATCTGTTTTGAAAATTATCCTCGGGCAAGAATTGAAATGGCTTCCTGTGGTCATCCCTATTGTATCACATGCTGGGAAGGTATGCCTTGCGTGCTATTACTCTGACCTTCTGTGATCTCAGATATAATTTGGCATCTGGTGCTAAATTGCATTTGATTTCAATTTTCCTTTTTTTTTTTTTTATTTGTGTGTATGGGTGGGGATAGTTGCAGGCAGCATAGGTGATTTTCTGTATATATTCTGATGTTCTCCTGTTTTACTTTTTCTTTTTCTGTCATATCATGGTCTTGTGCGGCTTTTGACATGCTAGGCTATATCAGCACATCCATTAATGATGGTCCCGGATGTTTGATGCTGAGATGTCCTGATCCCTCTTGTGGTGCTGCTGTTGGTCAAGATATGATTAATCTTTTAACATCCGATGAAGATAGGCAGAAATATACACGTTACCTTCTTAGATCATACATTGAAGATAATAAGAAGGTGTGCCATAGATATGGAATTATGAATTTGATAATGACAACGAAGCGGATGTTTACTTTTCCTTGTGCTGCCAATCCATGTGACTATGTTTTCCATGTTTCATTTTCATTACATGTTCACAACTGTTTCCATGTTGAATGACGTGTGTGGCATATTTATGCTATCCTGGCTAAACATAACGGCCTGTTCATCTCAGTATTTCTTTTTTTATTAAAAAGCTCATTAGAAGTTTTAGGTTGTTTTGTTAAATCTTTTAAAAAAACAGAATCTGAAAATAAAAAAACTCAAATTTCTGGTTATTTTAAGAAGTTATTTAAAGTAGCTTCTAAAAAAGGCTGTAATTACAAATTTATACCTGTTAATGAAAGAAACGACTTGTATAATTGTAACTAAATTAAAGAAAAGAAATTCCTTAAAGGACTTCCCAAAATCTTAACAAACATACCCTAAATTTATAAGTTATTTAATTAATGTTTCAGTATTTATCCTCTGTGATAATGTCCAACTCTACTTTTCTTAATCATTATTAATATATATCTCTCAATGTATGACTGTCATAATGGTTTTATTTATGATTCCTTTGTTTTGTCTAGTCCAAATGGTGTCCTGCTCCAGGTTGTGAATATGCAGTCACGTTTGATGCTGGTAGTGGTGGCAATTATGATGTCTCTTGCCTCTGTTCATATAGCTTTTGTTGGAATGTAAGTTGTGTATAGATTTTTCAGATTGTCACAGTTTTGCATTTTAGATTCTTGTTTATTTAGCCAGCTGATGTGTAATTGGATGTATAGTGCACTGAGGAGGCTCATCGTCCAGTGGACTGTGGCACTGTGGCAAAGTGGATTATGAAGAACAGTGCGGAGTCTGAAAACATGAATTGGTAGAGATTTCTTGAAGAATTTTGTTCACACAATTTTTTTTCTAGTAATTGAAATAATGTGATATTCTCTAGTATTAAGATATCTAATTTCTATAAATTGGACACTTTTAAAGGAGAGTACTTGAGGGTGAAAATAGTCTCAATTTTTATCTTGAATCAGGCTATATGTTGGCTAAGGGGTGTGGTTCCTTCGATTGAAGGAGTGAAATAAATAAAACACGTAATAGTGTTTTACTTAATGTGTGGATTTCTTTACAAATTCTCTAGAACAATGCATAATGTGTGGACTAGTAGGAATTGGGATTATATATGTGGGTAATCAATAACTTATCACAAAGATTCTCCACCTAACATCCTCCCTTCACATGAGGTTAATGGTTAATCATGTGTGTAAATGTAAATGTGGTTAACTTTGCATACATAAGAGTAAATGATATGATTATATACAACTTGTGCTTTTGACAATAATGCGTTGAGTATGTTTCACTAGTGATTAGTAGTCTCATGAGGTTAGAAATGTCTCATGGTGGTTGACTTTGCCTCACAAGTGTTGAAGATTGTTTACCATTGTCAGGTTGTGCTTGTGAAACTAATGGTTAAATATGTCTCATAAGTAGTTAATAATGTCTTGAGGTTATTGAAATGTCTAACTTGATTTCACAAGTGCTTAAAAGTAAATGAGCATGGTTATCTAACTCGCGAGTGGATGAGTCAGCAAGTTTAGTGACCGATCATGAGTTAACTCATGAGTATACTCTGTTGAAAGTCCCACATCGCCTATCTCATGTCATTTGGTATGGTTTAAATACATGTTAGGCTACTCCACATATTGCCATTTGGTTTTATGTTGGAACCTTAACATGGTATCAGAGCCAAAGCCTAACATCTTTCCGGTTATTGTCATGGGTCAAAAGTTGCCCTTTTAGTTGGGTCAAAAGTACCCTTTGCCTGGTCAGAACCCCAATGAAGTCGCCATCTGTCGCCGCTGTCAAAACAAGGCGGTCGGAGCGACGCGATGGTTCCGACTTTCCAATTTTCGCGTTTTTATGGGTGTGGTTACAACCCTTTAGGTTGTCCAATAACTGAGCTGAACCTAGAGGCGAGGTTTTCGAAAGGGCGTTCTTGGATTGTCCAATAACTGGGCTAACCCAAGAACTAATTTTGAAGGGTTCTTATGGAGTCGTCACCGATATTTTTACCGGAAACATCGAAAAATGAGTAAAAAGGCATTGGTTTTTGAAAAACCAACTTTGGTCATTAGAACCAGAGTTGGGTAAGAAAGTTAGTTACGTGTAAGGGAAGTGTTAGTTCCCTTACGATGCCCCTTTCGGGTTCCCTATGATAGGTCAGCTATTTAATAAATAAACTTTGTGAAAAGACGCTTTTACCCTATTATTTGCGGAATTAAAGTTATGACTACATGACCCTAATATCTATTACGTAATTAAAATAAAAGCAGTAAAGGAGAAGGAGAGAATGTAGAAACCTCCGAGACAAGCTTTATATTAATGCTCTTGAAAACTAGGGTGCGTTTTGGTAGCCCTTCGCTCTTTACAACGCCGAAAACTCTCTCGAAATGCTATAAAATCTCTAAGAAACTCTCAGAAACTCCGGAAATGCTTCGGAGGGGTTTTAGGAAGAGAATTTGAAGAGGTTACAAGAGAGAAAGTTGGAGAAGTGTGTGAAATGAGGGTGAAGGGACGGCTATTTATAGGGATTCGCGCCTGTCAGGTCGAGACGGCCGTCTCGTCTGACAAGGTCGAGACGACCGTCTTGCCGTTCGAGACGGGGGTCTCGCCATTTGCAGGTGGCGAGACGGCAGTCTCCCCAAACGAGATGGCGGTCTCGCCATTTTCGCAAGGCGAGACGGCGGTCTCGACCTCTGAAGGCGAAAATCCTTATTTTTATGCAGAAAAACCCTCCTGTCCTAGTATGGGGCCTAATAGTCTCTCCTAATGGATTCTTAGGCTTCGTCCATCTTCAAATAGGAGATCTTCTGGTCTTATTATGAGATCACGTCCTAGCAGCTCCCGCTCCACAGGACCCCACACAACTTTCACCACTGCACCAGGCCCGTCTAGAGCACATCCGGGGGGTATACATGGCACCCCATGCTGAGGTTAGATTTCGGCATCCTCGCCGAATTCGGATGGGAAGATGACGTCCGGGCCCACATCGACAGCATCGGGTGGGGCTTCCTCCTGCAACCTCCACCTACCCACGTCTACCCCCAGGCGGTGCTAGAGTTCCTCGCCTCCATCTCCTACGCCGAGACTCTCGCCATGGTACCAGGTCTGTCACCAACAAAAATGGTGACATACTTCATGGGTGGGATGTACCGGACCACCACCTTGGACGAATTCAACGTGATCATTGGGTTCGTCTAGCCCGAGGACGTGCTGACTCGGGACTATCAGGAGGCTATCTGTGCACGCTCCACCAACCTCACCGCAGGAGAGATGTGGGAAGAGCTCACTGGGGCGCACACTTTGCCCACGCTGATGAAGGGCTTCGCATTTCCCCAGCCCTTCGCATTTGCCACAAGTTGTTGGCAGGGACCATCCACGGGCGGAAAGAGAGTCAGGGGAAGGTAACCCTTCCGGACCTCTTTGTCTTTTACTGCATGAGACAAAGGCGCCGGTGCAACCCTGACTATTTCTTCCTGAAGGCCCTCAAGGACTTCGGGAGCCGTGCTCATGGCTCCCCTCATTACCCCTGGCAAAAAAATGGGGGTGCAGTGGTAGGAAGGAACTGGCCTCCGACCCGAGACCATCAACAGGTCGGTCCTAGTCAGCATGGGGATGCTACTGCGCCAAGGGACCCAGCTGATCCTCCACCCCTCACTGGATATCACTTTGGATCTTGTGGTAATGCATGATCTCCCGACACCTCCCGAGTTCCAACAACAGCAGCAGTATACAGATGATTTTGCTGGCATAAACCGCAACATCTACTATTTGTGCTAGCAATTCGATCAAATGCCTATAAGACAAGAGCAAATGTCCCTAAGGCAAGAGGCCTTAGACACGAAATTGGAGACAATATACCAATACCAAGAGGAAATGAGGAAAGACTGGGCGGCATTCCAGCAAGAATACCGGGACCAAGCAGAGTTCCGAAGGCATATGTATCGGCAGTTCCCCTCTTACGGATCGTCTCCAGACACAAGTCCACCGCCTTAGGGATAGGGCTTAGAAAAATAAAACTGCTGTAATAAATTTTATCATAAATAAAATTTTATTTCATATATTTTGTTCTCCCTTTCAAAAAAAAGTCAGCGTAACAAAAAGAAACTAAGAGTAAAAAGACTTATGCTCAGAAAAAAGCCAAAATCCAAAACCGCGAAAAAGGCAGAATTAAAATAAATCAAGCATCTTGACCAATAATCTTTCGACAACCAAGCGAGAGTCTAACAAAAAACAAAGACTACCCGGCAACCATCAAAGTCAGATGACCACCATCAAAATCAAAGAAATCCCCAACAACCAACAAGTTGGATCAACACCAACAGAGTCTCCGGCACAATCTAGATGACCATTCCCAGAAAAGACAAGAGAACACATCTCACCGCTCGGCGCATGAGCCACCCGAACAGTAAGCCGCCACTACCACTAGTCCTACGCAGTGAACTGTACCAGCCTGATAGGGGGTTCATACCTATCAACCTGCGCTCGAGCCGGATCAGTAAGTCGCAACCACCAACCTGATGGGGGGTTCATACTCATCCAGTCCTACGCACAGTGGGCTGTAACTACCAGCCTGATGGGGGGTTTATACCTATCAACCGAAGGATCGACTACCGTCAGAGAGAGTATTCTAAGGTTCTACCACGTGTCAACCAAAGGGATCGGCTACCGTCAGAAGGAGTATCCTGGAGGTGCACAACACAAATAAAGAATATCCTAAGAAGCCATTAGGAGAGACTATTAGGCCTCATACTAGGATAGGAGGGTTTTTCTGCATAAAAATAAGGATTTTCGCCTTCAGAAGTCGAGACCGCCGTCTCGCCTTGCGAAAGTGGCGAGACCGCCGTCTCGTTTGGCGAGACCGTCGTCTCGACCTTGTCAGACGAGACGACCGTCTCGACTTGACAGGCGCGAATCCCTATAAATAGCCGTGCCTTCACCCTCATTTCACACACTTCTCCAACTTTCTCTCTTGTAACCTCTTTACATTCTCTTCCTAGAATCCCTCCGAAGCATTTCCGGAGTTTCTTAGAGATTTTATAGCGTTTCGAGAGAGTTTTCGGCGTTGTAAAGAGCGAAGGGTTGCCAAAATGCACCCTAGTTTTCAAGAGCATTAATATAAAGCTTGCCTCGGAGGTTTCTACATTCTCTCCTTCTCCTTTACTGCTTTTATTTTAATTACGTAATAGATATTAAGGTCATGTAGTCATAACTTTAATTCCGCAAATAAAAGGGTAAAAGCGTCTTTTCACAAAGTTTATTTATTAAATAGTTGGCCTATCATAGGGAACCCGAAAGGGGCGTCGTAAGGGAACTAACACTTCCCTTACACGTAACTAACTCCCTTACCTAACTCTGGTTCTAATGACCAAAGTTGATTTTTCGAAAACCAACGCCTTTTTACTCTTTTTTTTATGTTTCTGGTAAAAACATCGGTGGCGACTCCATAAGAACCCTTCAAACTTAGTTCTTGGGTTAGCCCGATTATCGGACAATCCAAGAACGCTCTTTCGAAAACCTCGCCTCTAGGTTCAGTCCGGTTATCGGACAACCTAAAGGCGTTGTAACCACACCCATAAAAACGCGAAAATTGGAAAGTCGGAACCATCCCGTCGCTCCGACCGCCTCGTTTTGATGGCGGCGATAGATTTGAAAAGACATACCATCCCAGAAGACTTTCCCTGAGTAACAAACCCAAGAGGTTGCTCCATATAGATTTCTTCTTGCAAATCACCATTGAGGAAAGCATTTTTAACATCTAGTTGATAAAGAGGCCATGGCGATAAATAAACGAACAGAAGTCATCTTTGCCACAAAAGAAAAGGTATCTTCATAATCCAACCCAAAAATTTGAGTATATGTTGATGACATAGTCTTATAGGTAGTGACAACCATGACATCTCTTAATTGAAACATCTTTGTCACCATTTTCAGACCAAAGATCTTGGCAAACTTAGATATTTCTTGGGTATTGAGGTGGCACAATCCAATGATGGTATTGTTATATCCCAGAGGAAGTATGTCATGGATATTTTGGAGGAAACTGGGTTGATGAATTCAAAGTCTATTGATACGCTCATGGATCCCAATTCTAAACTTGTACCAAATCAAGGGGAGCTTATACCTGATCCTGAGCAGTATAGAAGATTGGTTGGAAAATTGAATTATCTTACAGTTACTCGTCCTAACATTTCCTTTGCAGTCAGTGTGGTAAGCCAATTTCTTAATTCCCCATGTGAAGATCATTGGAATGCAATCTTTCGTATCTTAAAATATATTAAAGGATCTCCTGAAAAAGGATTGTTATATGATTCTAATAACCATACGAGAGTTGTTTGCTACTCAGATACTGATTGGGTAGGATCTCCTTCGGATAGAAGATCTACATCTGGATATTGTGTCTCCATTGGTGGTAACTTGGTCTCATGGAAAAGTAAGAAACAAAGTGTTGTGGCAAGATCTAGTGCAGAAGCAGAATATAGAGCTATGGCCTCAGCTGCTTGTGAACTTGTTTGGCTCAAGCAATTGCTTAGAGAGTTACAATTTGGAGATGTCACTCAAATGTCACTTGTGTGTGACAATCAGGCTGCTATTCATATTAGTTCTAATCCTGTCTTTCATGAGAGGACCAAACACATTGAGATTGATTATCATTTCATTCGAGAAAAGATTATGTCTGGAGACATCAAGATTGAGTTTGTTAACTCAAGTGATCAGTTAACAAATATTTTTACTAAATCTTTACGGGGTCCTAGAATTGATTATATTTGTAACAAGCTTGGCACATACGATTTGTATGCTCCAGCTTGAGGGGGAGTGTTAGATATTGTTAACCACAATATCAAACAATATCTTCTGTTTATTTTGTTACTTTCAGTTACTCTTTTAGTTGTATCTTTCTACTATAAATAGACTACCCTATGTGTGATTTATACACAAGGGAGATTAATCCCAAACTCTATTTCTTTTATATTCAACATGGTATCAGAGCCAAAGTCTAACATCTTTCCGGTTATTGTCATGGGCCAAAAGTTGCCCTTTAGTTGGGTAAAAAGTACCCTTTGCCTGGTCTGGCAGGCTTCGTTGGAGGGGGCGTGTTGAAAGTCCCACATCGCCTACCTCATGTCATTTGGTATGGTTTAAATACATGTTCGGCTACTCTACATATTGCCAATTGGTTTTATGTTGGAACCTTAATAGACTCGAACACGAACTCGGTGGACTCTCAGCCAACTTGCGGGTGTGAGTGCGAGTGACCGACTTTGGAGGAAAGTGATACTTACGTACTCCTTGTCCTTTTTCATCGCTCGTCACTGCTGTCGTCACCGTTGTTGTTGTTGCACTCCGTTGGTCGTCATCACCATTGCATTGGTCTTGCACTGCACGCCGTTGAAAGTCCCACATCGCCTATCTCATGTCATTTGGTATGGTTTAAATACATGTTAGGCTACTCTACATATTGCCAATTGGTTTTATGTTGGAACCTTAACAGACTCGAACACGAACTCTGTGGACTCTTAGCCAACTTGCGGGTGTGAGTGACCGACTTTGGAGGAAATTGATACTTACGTACTCCTTGTCCCTTTCCATCACTCGTCACTGCTGTCGTCATCGTTGTTGTTGTTGCACTCCGCTGGTCGTCATCACCATTGCATTGGTCTTGCACTGCACGCCGGTCACTATTAAGTTGTCACTAATCATCGTTGTTCACTGCCACTGTTGCTTGTTGGTCACATGCTGGGCACTGGTCATCGTTTAAGTCATCATTGGTCTTGCCACTCACCGCCAGCCTTGCTGGTCGATGCTACCTCGTTGGTCGACATTAGTTTGCTGATTGGACACTGTTAGATTAGGATTAGGGATTTTAGGATTATTGGATTAGGGATTTTATTTCATCTGCTTCCAATTTTTCATCTCATAGTTATAATTTTGATTTAATTTTTTTTAAGTTGTATAGCCTAGGGAATTAATTTTTTATTTTGATTATTTATTTCAGTAATGTGGAATTGATATTATCATGCTTATACTTTTTTTTTAAATTGGTATTTTTCATATGAAGTAGACTCCTTGAATTGATAATTGGAATACTGTCATCCAAATTCGAAGATATCTCAAAGAGGTTCTAGGACAAGGTCTATTTTATAAAGATAAAAGAGATATGGTTGCCTAATCGATGGCTGAAACGGGACAATGGTATCTCTCACTTGTGAGTTTGTGTGGGTAAAACAGTTCCTTCAAGGATTAAATTTTTGTGAGGTTAAGCAAATGAAGATGTATTGTGATGACCAAACTGTTTTTCACATTGTTTCCAACTCGGTGTTTAATGAGAGGATTAAATACATAAAAATTGATTGTCTTTTTAGTCGAGAAAAGTTGTTGTCCGAGGAAATTTATATTGAGTTTGTTAGATCAACATGGAAATGCATTAACAAAATCTTTGAGAGGACCTTAGATTGAAGTTATTTGTTCCAAGCTTGGTACATATAATTTGTATGTTCTAGATTACGGGAAAGTGTTAGAATAAGTCTTAAATAAACTTTATTGAAAAGTTGTTTTAATGTTGTACCTAGGGTTAGTGCTTTACCTAGGAACTAGATATGTTTTTTCTTATTCCTCTCTTTTTTCTCATTTTTTATATCTGAACTACCCTTCTTATTATAAATATGAGAACCTAAGAGGGAAATTAAGGCTCTCAACTCAACTATATTTCTTTTCCATTTTATTTATCTCAAGTGGACAATTTTAAATGGGGCAATTATAATTTTTAATCTCCATCATGATCCTTGAATTTCCTCCATGTATTACATTTATATAACTGGTTGAGGGTAAACTGGTGCTTTTCTGGGTAGCTTAGACTTCATAGATTGAGCTTGATGTTGATATGATGACTTTCAGGATACTTGCGAATTCAAAGCCATGCCCCAAGTGCAAGCGACCAATTGAGAAAAATCAAGGGTGCATGCACATGACTTGCACACCTCCCTGTAAATATGAATTTTGCTGGTATGCATTCTCTTTTCCCTTTCATAATCAACAAAATCATGATGCATGCTTCATTCTACATAGTTTGAGTTTATTTGAATTTAAAACATTTTATCTACATAGGCTCTGCCTTGGTGTATGGTCAGACCATGGTGAAAGAACTGGTGGTTTTTATGCTTGCAATCGTTATGAAACAGCTAAACAAGAAGGAGTGGTACGGGACATAACAATACTTGACTTCTCCCAGTTCATGTTTCAGGCTATAATTTTCTCACTGTTTCTGTCCCAGCTATATGGATGATGGTATTTGCTTATGAGCTTAATTTTGTTGTGTGCAGTATGATGATACAGAAAGAAGAAGGGAAATGGCGAAGAACTCACTAGAGAGATATACACATTATTATGAGCGATGGGCCAGCAATCAATCTGTATGCACCAGTTACTGTTCAGTAGTCATGTTTTAGGGATTATCTTCATCGATTTCTGAATTTATACTTGTTATACTTTTTTGAGAGCTAAATGATTAATTCTACTTTATTTCAGTATGAGGAACTTTTTTGTCATGATCTTCATGTTATGTTCTTGTTTGGTGGATATCTAGATTTGGAAAAAAAAAAAAAAAAAAACACCGTTGATGTACCTGCCTAAAGCTTTTTGGAGTATAGTCTATTAGTGTCAGTGGCCAAATAATCTAAAGTTCCATCCTAACAACTTAAGCTTTTTGGAGTATCGGTCTAGTTGATTCTGTGGCTAGATGATCTAAAGTTCCATCATTACTGTTCTCTTTCAACTAATAAAAAGTTGAATTTCGGCATTAGATAGGTGGGTTTGTGCTTGAATATCTATGCTTGAGGTTTAATGAAGTTCTCTTGTGTGATTAGGCATGCTAGAGATGTAATATGAAAAAGCATCTCCTATATTTACCTCGCAAAAATATGACAAGAGTTGGTCCTTGACAGTGTTGCTTGACCTATTGAGGAGTGTTTTAAGTGGCTTATACTTTATATGTAGAAGACTGCTAGCTGGATAATTTTAAGTGGTTTATACTTCATAAGTTATGGACATTGATTTGTTTGTTATTCTCTACTTTAAACTGTATTCTGTATTATTATTATTATTATTATTATTATTATTATTATTACTTTCTGGATGTATGCATTTAAACCAGAGAATATTTCTTTCGAGGTTATAATATTGATAAACAGTGCAATATACTGTTTCTTTTCTACAGTCAAGGCAAAAAGCTCTTGCAGATCTGCAGCAGATGCAAAATGTTCATGTACGTTACATATACATGTGTCATCTTAGCCATGTTCTTTTTCAAAACCTTGTTAGCATCTTTGTAATTTTTGGCACTTAACGTAGCATGGAACCTTCACCTCAGGTATGTTAGTTAGAATGTAATTTTTTGGCAACTGAAGACATTGTTTGCACTTGTAATATTATGATTTCATGAATGCTTTCCAACATAGTAGTCTAGTAGCTTACTTTTCCATGTCATAAGTCAAAATCTACTTTATATTTTTCTGTTTTTGTAAGATCTTTTGTTTATATGCTCATAAGGATCATATAATTGCTCTTTAATCCTCTCTGTCTATTTTTGGGGTGCAGATTGAGAAGCTTAGTGACATACAGTGTCAGCCTGAGTCACAGCTTAAGTTCATAACTGAGGCCTGGCTACAAGTAAATTATTGTTTTCTTAATTTTTTGCTCCGTCTGCTTTGTAGTATTATATAAAGCTTTAACATTTTTTTGATTGTAAGATTAGACCAGTTATTCTGCACCTGGCGGACTGTTTTTAATGCTTTAGCTAGTCATTGAACATTTTAACTATTTCCTCTAACTGGTGATTTTGTGAGAACTTTCTCCTGTGCCAGTAATGTATTTACGTTTTTCTTTGCTATTAGAGCTGCAGGGAAATTAATGTCAGCAGTCGCTATTGCATAAAATTCATTTTGGGGGTGAAATAGATGTCTCCCTAAATAAGTGTTTCATGTTTTCAGATAGTCGAGTGTAGAAGAGTACTGAAATGGACATACGCATACGGGTTCTATTTACAGGAGCATGAGCATGCGAAAAAGCAGTTCTTCGAGTACTTACAAGGTTTTTACTTTTTCAACTTGAATTTTATTATAAATGTTTGTGGTAATTCCTCTGTAAATAATACTCAACTATAATTTGTTTTCAGGTGAGGCAGAATCTGGTTTGGAGAGACTTCATCAATGTGCAGAAAAAGAACTACAGCCATTCCTATGCGCTGATGACCCATCTAGAGAATTCAACGACTTTCGTACAAAACTAGCTGGATTGACAAGGTATATATATTAATCATGTTTTGTTACCCATTTTCGTTGAATTCTGGTTTTTCTTAATTTATTCATGATTTTTTTGGATTGGAGCTTGGCTATAGATTCATTTTCTGGTACATATGTTTTGACAGTGTGACTAGAAACTACTTTGAGAATTTAGTAAGGGCATTAGAGAATGGTTTATGTGATGTGGATAGTAATGGAGCTTCCCTGAGCAGAGCAACGAGCTCAAAAAGTGCCGCTGGGAGTAGTAAGGGGAGATCCGGAAGAGTAAAGGGAACTTTTCGAACCAGCATGTCCAGCAGAATGAATGATGATAGTCATTGGTGTTGCGAGCATTGTACCTATGCAAATGTCAAATCTGCCACCACATGCCAGATGTGCTATCAACGGCGATGAAAACTAGGTTCTCCATTTGAAACACTCTTGTCCTACCCAAGGTCTTTGCATCAAAAGCCTAGATGGAGTCATTCCTCAGTTTGTTTTGACATAGTCTCCGTTTTATGAAGCTCTTTAAATATGTGAACAGGATGAAAGGAGTAAGGCATAGAAGAAAGGTTGCCTCCAATTCAATACAACCTAATTTGATGTACATAGTGCTCTATCTTTTTTACTTAAGAGGTTTTCTACTACAGGCATTTGTAACTGAATATCATAACACATGCTGGAGATGAACACAAATATGCATGTTTGTGCCCACTCCTTTCAGGTGGTCTCTTGGCAGCATCCAAGATACCTAGGGGTAGTCATGTGTAATAAAGCCGAGAGTTTTATTAAGTTCTAAGAAATGATAAAGGACTACAATAAATGCTATACAGTATCACTTTAAAATTATGGCACCTTTGTGAACTTTTGTGGCTAGCGTGTGTCGGATGCATGACGTGTCCCCAAACTAAGTCCGACCCAATGTCGATGTGATGCCACTGCCGCTTATTTTTATTTTTTATTTTACCTTTGTATAGGACGCTTATAAAATGGTCCAGTAAAACTGAATTGTTTGATATAACAGAAAAAAAAAATTGTGGATACGATTTGTTACTTAGAACCTGGTTTAATGGAAATGTGTGGAGATTGTCTAATGTAGTTTCAATTGTAAATGGTGTTAAACAACACCATAGAAAATTAATGGGCGCCAGTAAATAAAATTAAACCAACCATCTTGAAAACGGGGTTAAACAATGACCCAAAAGTACATAATTGTAGTAATAAATCCTACCGGTAGTGTCCTCGGAAATTGGTCCCTGTTTGTGGGGAAAGGGGTCATTGTGAACAGCAACACTACCGTAAAAAGGGGCCATTATCCAAAGAACCCATCTGCCTAGGAACAGATTCCTTGCTATAATTTTTGGAACCAGCTCCGACATAGCATGAGCAAATATCTGATGCGAGGGTCTGTCTGCTAATACTCGATGAAATTACAAATAAATATGTCAATTTTTTACATTTTGCTCCCACTATTTTCATGTATTATCAATTATTATTACTATTTTAAAACTCCCAAGATTTTGGATTCCCACCGTTACGTATAGTAGGTGCCCTCCACCTTTGCGGATCTATTTTGTCCTTTAAGTAACAATTAAAGTTAGCTTCACCCAATGTAAACAGTGGAACCAACGTTCTCAATTCACCCTAAGCACATTGTAATTAAATTCATATATGTTCTGTTAAAAAAGTAAAATGACTCTTTAAGAAGAAGGTCGAATAGAAAACTTTCTTAACAGCCAACATAGCACAACGTTTCAATAGTTGTAACCAGTAGAAGGGTCTATTATAATAAATAAATAAATAAGAATTTTAAAAATTGATTTAGATGAAATGAAACTTTAAAGTGGCAACCTATTTGCAAAAGATACAAAATTTAAGGTATTATTTTCATAGGAAAGTTGAAAAGACAAAATTAAAGGTATATTTCGTAAACAGTTCAATTGAATCTAATCCACATTTTTTTCAGGCCAATAATGTTCTTCGTTTGGTATATTGGAGAGCGTAGAGAGAGATTTGGTGATTCTGAATTTAAGTTGTCTACACCACCAAAATGTGTTTGGATACCCTGCTAGTACAGTAAATGATGACCTATTAACTGCACTGAGTTACATAACAAGCACTAGAAACATCAGTTCATCACAATGAAGCCAAATTCAATGTGGCGAAATACATCTCATCTAATTTGTGTCGTCAATAACTCATTTACTGCACGTTTATCATTATAATATCTAATATTTGCATTTTTATACGTAATTGGTAAATATGTCTAATAAATAGAGGAAACAATCAGACACCATCTTCTAACCAAAATGTCACTATTTCTGCATTTCATTTCTTAAAACGTTCCATTTCCAAGACAAATTCCAATCTCAGTTGAGGATTTTCTGATTTCCACAGCAATTAATTAATGAAATAAAAATAAATAAAAAAATGAAGTTAACAGAGATTTCAACATGACAAGAACTCCTCACTTTCTCCATGCCCGTTTCCATTTACTCCCGTTAAACCAAACTGTACACTGCTCAAAACATTGCAGAAGGCATTAACTGAGAACTTTGGCCTACCCTTTCATGAAAGATGGTTAGTTACACTCTTTTTTATGTGTCTTTGAACATCTTGAAGCTTAATGCATTCAGCAATGCTCTTGAATACTGGCGCGAGGCCATTTTCCAATCTCCTCCTGTCTTCATCATTGCCTTAAACTCCTGAAAACTGATTCGACCATCCTTCACCAAATAAAGCAAACAGTTAGACGCAAAAACGAAAGTTTAAGAAGGTATTATAAGCCGGACAAGTTTAACTTCATATGTAGTTCTTACCTTATCCAAGTCAACATCATTTAGAATGTCTTTGATCACTTGGTCGTCCATGACTTCCAAATCATCATCTGATAAGGCATCTTTCAACTCCTCAAACTCAACATATCCGGTCTGATTCTTGTCAAAGTAACGGAATGCTTCAGAGAGATTCTCATCACCTTCGATCTTTTTCATATGAACACTCATTGTGATGAACTCATCATAGTTGAGGGTGCCGTTTCCGTCAATATCTGCCTGTTTTCATCAGCAATATACAGAAGGTTAAAAGATTTTTTTTAAAGATAGAGTTATTGTGTTTCATTTTATATATACGGTTGGAGTTCCTCCCCACATGCATGCATCCATGCCTTATAAGAGAAATGAAAAGTATCAAATAAGTGTTTACATGTTCGGATGTTCATGTATCATTTTTAGAATGTAAAGAACTTACAGCTTCCATTAACATTTGGACATCAGGGTCAGGAATGGGGTGTCCAATCATTGAAAGGCCATCTTTGAGCTCTTCAAATGACAAGTTTCCATTTTTGTCCTTATCCATCATATCGAACATTTTCTTAAACGTGGCAATTTGCTCATCTGACAGGTTATCGGCTACCACCTGAAGAGACAACCCTTTTTAGGAGAGTAATGCTATTTTGAATGTAAGGTAGCAAATTTCCTGACCTATATAAAGGGATACACCAAACTTACTCTAAGAACCTTTCTTTTGAATCTGTTCATCAAGGAGAACTGCTTGATCCTCATTCTCACTTGGTCTCCAAGAGAAATAGGTCGACTATGCTCCCTATTTTGTATCCAGGGATGATCTTTTCACGGAAGAGGATAATTATCAGTACAACTTTTCCATGTGAGCCAATTAAATTATCTTAAACACGTAAACTTTAAGGACAACTTGTGACTTTTAGTAAGCAATCTTTTTGCCCAGCCAAATTACTCCAACATTTGTAACATTTGTTTTGAATTCTTAAGCAGCAGATTTTTATGCAGCTTATAAACCATGTTCATATTTAGTATATTTAACTTACAGAAGTAAGAAAAACTGTAAGAACTCACTTTCTGACATTGTCTTTTTGACCCTTCTTTTAATTAATTCAAATTTACGTTAGTCTTAATAATGATTTGGGAATGACACAAAAAAAAGTAGAACCCACATATTTTATAGGATCTACAATTCTACATAAATTTCATTCAATTAAAAAAAATGTATCAGAAAGAATGCATTGGGAGTACGTTAAAAATATTGCATTGCTTTTATTTTTCAGTAGGTAATGTAATAAAGAAAAGAAGAATTATTTTTTCCGTAAAATCTGTAGCACATACCAAGAACTTCTTGAACTGTTATCCGGGTCGATGGATTTGAATCAAGCATGCGCTTAACCAGATGTTTTGCTTCATCAGAAACTTTAGGCCAAGGATCTCTGGTGAAATCTACTTTACCCTTAATGATGGCCTGAGCAATCCCTTCCTCGGATTCTGTACTAGTAATAATCCCATTATCAGAAGGAACCCCCATGAAACAATTAAACTTTCTGAAAGGGGACTGTAAACTTCTCTTGCTTTGTTCACATGCATGAATAAGATTGGGACCTACGTACCTGCCCAAAAGGGTGGAACTCCACAAAGTAAAATATAAAGAATCACCCCTGTGCTCCAGACATCAATTTCTTGGGAATAGTTACGTCTTAAAACCTCGGGAGCCATGTAATAAGGACTTCCAACAATTTCATTGAATCTTTCACCTGTTGATAAATGTTATTATTTTGTTAACAGTTTAAAAGTGTCATGCAATAATGGCAGTACTCAAGTAACATCATAAACTAAACTTTACCAGGCACATAGAAGGTGGAAAGGCCAAAATCAATTGACTTCAATGCAGCAGTCTCGCTTGCATCTGCAAATAAGAAATTTTCAGGTTTCAAGTCCCTGTGTATTACTCCGTGCTCATGACACATCTGCAAAACAATGTACCCAAAAAATGTTATACTAATGAGAGATAAATAGAAAAAAGAGAAAAAGAAAAGAAGAAGTAAAAAAAAGATCGCAAGTTCTTGTTTAGATTCAAAGAGGAAACAAAAATCACAAAGCAATCATCCCAAGAAAGATTAAACAGCAGGACAGTTCCAGAAATTATGCTCTTCATGACATAGTCACATTCAAGTTCAACTATTCTCCACTCTCTGTGCAAATGGCTATATGTCTGCATAATGATAGGTGCAACAGTCCCTGGAACCCCGTTTTTAATTGAAATAAGTAAAAACAATCTTATAATACTTTCATATATCCAACACTTGATTAAAATCTATAATTTTTCTCAAACTCTATATCTATCATTTAAATCACCTTTTATATAAACATTTTTCTTGCTTTTTCCCCTCTAGGTGTCAATTAGCCCCTATGTGTCCAAAGATATAATTTTCCTGCATATTTCTAATATAAACTAATAACCCATATGTTGCATTTTATCCTACTTTAACACACCCAACAAACTCACAACGTAGATGCAAGAAATTATTACATTGTGCATACGATGGAATTCTTCTATTTACATGAAGAAAATCAATAAAACTCTAACATGTGTCATCCTCATCATGCATACGTTAATAATTTTCTTTTCATTCCAATACAAACAAACAAACCAACAATCAGAAAGGAAAAAAAAAAAAAGAATGAAAGGGTACCTTGCAAACTTCAAGTATGGTCTTGGCAACATTAGCAGCAGCACGCTCGGTATAATGGCCCTTAGCAACGATCCTATCAAAGAGTTCGCCACCTTCACAAAGTTCCATGACGAGGTAAACAGCGTCTCTGTCCTCATAAGCCTCCTTGAAGGCCACAATGTTGGGGTGCCGAGGCAAGTGCCTCATGATCTGCACCTCTCTCCTCACATCTTCCACGTCAATCTCCGTCCTCAGCTTCGTCTTCGCGATCTTCTTGCACGCAAACGCTTCGCCAGTCACCAAATCCACCACGCGATGCGTCACGCCGAACTCGCCGCGCCCCAGCTCCTTCCCGAACTGGTAATTATCGAATATGTTCCCCGGACTCGGGTTCGCCACCACGTTCACCGGACGAGCCGTAACGCTCGACCTACGCACCACCACGCTCGACCTCCGCGTGGGCCCATGCCCTTGCGGCGACGAGGGCTTGCTGGCATGCTTCGTCCTCTTGCGTGTCCTCACGCCTTGCGTTGAAATGCAGCTTCCCATGGATTACGGGTTTCAATAACTCAAACAACGTTGTTTTCCAAAAAAAAAAAAAAGAAGAAGAAAAAGAAAAAGAAAAACAACGCTGTTGCAAAAAAAATGTTAGGTTTTGGATTATATAGGAATGATAAAAAAAAAAAAAAAACAATAACAATGGATTATACGTATGTATGTCACGTTGGTGTTGTGTTATACGATAATCCAAAGGGTTGTGATGAATTTGAGTTATGTTGGTGTTACCCAATCTCCATGGGAAAACAAGAGCAACCTCGGAGATTGGGAACTCTAAATTGCAAAGATGGTGTGAGAAGGAGAATAGGAATAAGAAGGGATGCTATATTTGGATTTGGGGCATTATGGGTGTTGTGTTGGTATTATGAGCTGGAAGATTGGGAACACATACTTGGTCCCGCCATTTTCTTAGGGCTGTTATTTCTTTTGCACGTTTTTGGTCAAAAAAAGCCATGCATGCAAATCAATCACGTACAAGGGATATTTTCTCTTCCTGCTTCTTCTTTGCACTCACTAGTTGTGGTTCTTATTTTGGTTTAAGGTTTTTTCGATATTCGTTTACCAAAAATAAATAAAATAATAAAAAGAGGGGGCAAGGTACTGAAGAGACCCTAATTACTTAAAAAATGTTAATGAAATGGAAAATTACTTGAAAATTACTGGAAAATTACTGAAGAGACCCCTTAATTATTTCTAAATTTAATGGGCAAGGAATTAATAAATTTATTTTGTGTACCATAAATAAAGCATGATTTCCATCAATGTTTATTTTCTATAAGATCATAATCCATACTTTACCCCTCTCAACTTAATTAAAGAGAAATTATAAATTGCCCTAATTGATCTTGAAGGGACAACCAATCTATCACATTTACAAATCATATATGGTTAGAGTTCTGCATGTAAGGGGTGGATTATTTTGAAATGCTTGATGATAATTTCAAATATAGGTGATTAAAATGATAACATATTTTAATACTACAATACCATAGAATTAAAACAAAACTCACCATTTTGTGATATTAATAAGCGAAGAAGGTGATAAGTTTGTCATAAAACTTAGGAGTTTTACTTTAACATTGTTACTTAGGTTAATTAAAAATGAAGTTAATTTAGAATATATACGATTTTTTTAGTTTAATTTTAACAGCTAATTCAATTAAAATTAGGTAACAATATTTGTAACGGGTCATTGATAACACAACTTTTATTGTATATATTTTGGTGCAAGAGACCGAGTCAATTTTATCCTTGGGAATTATTTAAATATTTATATGTTTCAAATCCTTCACATTAAAATATTGATAGAGATAAAATTTAAAATGTTAAATAATAGTTGTTATCTCCTCTTAAAACATGATGGCAATAACCTAAATGCTATTCATATAGTTAAATTATTATTTTTTTCAAATTATGATTAACTAAAATAATGTCTTTTTGTTAGACGTGATATGCCATATCATTTATTATTTGAATAATTTTATAATAATATTTTTAAAATATATATTTAATTAATATAATAATTAAATAATAATTATATTATTATTGTTATAACTATTTCATAAATTTGATTTGGTGAGTTAAAATTTTATAATATTCTAATCAAATCCATTGGTCCAAGATAACAAGTAAAAAAATATATTTATAACTCATCTATTCATAATGTTATCCGTTTCCTATTTACTTTTAAATAACTTTTGTTCAGATATATAGATTTAGGATAAATAATTTAATGATAAAATCAAATAAAACTATAAATAATCCAAAATTACCTAATATTTTTTTAATTGATAATTATCTTGAATAACGTTATTATTGCGCACATGAGTTCGGGAAGAACTCTTATTCTTAAACTTGCGCCCACTATAAAACAAAGAGTTGTGTCCTGTTCCATTACATATTTTATTTGATAATTTATGTTTTGTTTGGTTTACTAGTTTAATATTGTTTAAGAGTTAAAATTAATGATAATTTATATATTATATCGTGTTTTAATTTATAAGATATTTTTAAAAAATAAAATTATGATGAATTAAAATTTTAAAACAGATAATGTTTCGAACATAATTTACACATAAAAATTAAATTTAATAATATAATTATAAATATAAAATAAGGATAATTTCAGGCTTATGGACAAAAACTTTTTAATAACATTCATGTCAGAAAATAATATTCTCTCCATCTTGTTTTGTTCTGTGCAAATCATTCACTGCTTCTCATACCATAAAGCGGTGACTTTTGGTCGTTATTGGATGCCCCAATTTTTTTTTCATTTTGGATATTTCTTAGTAAAAAGTTCTAAAAGAAAAAAAAAAAAAACAGCGGAAGAAAATAAAAATATTTTAGTTTATAACAGTAATTGAACTCTCTGTGGTTTGTAGGAAAAAATAAAAAATAAAAAAGTGAAAAATGTTACTGCAGCATCCCCTTGTGGACTTGAAAGTGGAGAATTAAAAGAAATTAATGAAATGGAAAATGGTCTGATGGTACTCTTCAAGAATTAATTAATGGCCAACAATAAGTGGACCATTAAATTCACCAATGGAGTTTAACAGTGGGAGCACAAAATTTGTTTTTGGTTGAATTTCTAACACTAAAATACAAGTAAAAAGACTGTTTCTACCTTTTCATCTTTCCTATTTAAGTACTGTTCTGTTCTCTGTTCTCTCTAGCCATTTTCTTTCACCCACCAAACCTATTTTTTTTATCTCTCGTTTTCTCAAAATCCCTTGCTTTGATCAATCTTAGAACATCTGATGTCGTTTCCAGCGTACAAGCAAGGTAATGGGTTCCAGCAGCAGTTTTTTTTTATTTTCTTTATCTTCTTTTATTCTTCCACGATGTTTTGTTTGCTAGGCATGCGTCTGTCGTAGGTTGCTACAGCCTCTTCTGATTGGCTTGTGATTATCTTCTATCTTTTTGTGTGTTTTCGTGCATAGATGGAAGCTTTGGTCTGGTTTGTGTTCATTTATATTACATGAATGCGTTTATCAGCCAAAATATGTGGCTTCTTAAACTGAATACAACTTAAAAGAGTACTTTAGGAAATAAAATTACGCCATGTTTTGGCTTATTGGTATTGGAATAAGGTTGTGCGTTTGAATTCCTAGGTAATAACAACAAGGGAAATGTTTGGCTTTACTTAATCAATAAACCCCTAAAATGCAATAAACTTTTCATCTTAGTTCATAATGTTTGCAATGAGTGTTATCCTTTAAACTAGATGCTGATTTGAAAATTTTTAAAGAAATAAAAGCCATACTGTTGTTATGCTTCTACAATTAACCTTATATATTTCCTTGACTTTTCTCTTTCCTTTGTGATCTAAAAACAAAAAATATGTCCTCAAAGGACAATTTCTGATTAATCCAATTTAGCAGTGAGTCACTGTTCTTAACAAGAAGAGCTTCTACAATGAGTTTGAGTGGTACTGTGAATGATGCAACTGCTACAAATTTTCCTTGTGGCTGCTCTGAGACCTCAGGATCAGGGTCTTTTTCTGGATGTTCATCTAACAACAGTTCCACTCATTTTTGCATCAAGTGTGACTTCAGCTATGATTCTGTACTCACTCTTGAAGGTGAAGACTCCGAGTGGATCTCAAATTCAAAGCCTTATCATGGATTGTCATCTGAGAAACCTTCAACTCCTCTAAACACCAATGGAATACACTGTGACAGATCAGAAGATAATGTTTCAGTGGAGCATCTTTTAGAAATTGAGGACATGCAAGAGTTTAGTGCTGATGGACCACTTTTTTGGCCATATGAAGGGAAATTCAGCTGGAATTTTGAGGAACCCTGGAGCCCGTTTTGTATCTCACCTATGAGAGGACTTGTGTTTGGTTCTAGATCAATGGCACCAAGGATAAAAGAAAGTAATAATAAAGGCCATGGAAGTGTATGCTGTGTAACATCTGAACCTTATATGTCATGTAAAAGTTCAGCAGAGATTGCAGCATCAGAGTTGAATGATGAGAAAGTTACATTGAAGAGCACAAAAGATGGCAACGAAATGCTATTTGGTGACAAGACTCTTATTAATGACCTTCTATTGGGTAGAGAAGAATTTTGTTTGGATCATGAGCCTGAGATTCCAATTGAGACATTGGTGGGGCTGAAGGAATTTGATGGACATGAAGGGCTTGATTCAGAATTTAATGGTGATGTGTTCATGCTGGAGTAATCTCCCTTGTACGGTGAAGCCCAATTGAAGAAGCATATATCTAGTCATGGAGACTATGTGAGAACAGGTCACATTTTCTGTTCCAGCGGAAATAGTTGGTTCGGTGCTTTGGGCCAGTGTTGATACACTTGCACTGTGCATGCTTCCATATTCAGTTGGCCAATTAATTAGCAAATTCATTTATATTATATCATTTCATTTAATAAAACATTTTTAAATGATACCAAAATTATACTCTTTATCTTAATTTTAAAATAAATGAAAATATGAAAAGTAACAATTATTTGATATATATACATATTTCAAACTTCAAATTATGTTAATGCTACCAAATAGATTAGTTCAATCAATTACATACTATCTTTCAACTTCTAATTCTTTCATTCAAAAACTACAGCCAAATTTTTATTGAACGAACAGTTTTTTAATTGTTAGTAAAACACTATATTAATATAAATTCTACGTACCAAATTGTTTCAAATAGATAAAATTTTGTATAAATAATTAAATATATAAGTTTTATATTAAAACAATAAATTTTATTCATAAGTACTTTTAAGACTAAATTTATCTCGTGGTGGACGCTTATACACACTTACTGTAATACAATATCTCAATTTAATCAATGATCTCTTAGGAACATTATGTCCCAATTTTAACCAATTGCTTTTGACTATTTTTCTCCTTAAACTCCTAAAAAGAGAAAAATTAAAGAAAAAAAATAAAATTAATATTTTATAAGTTAAAATTAACTAACAAACTAATTTGTAAAATTATTTTCACATAATTTCAGTTAATTTTATTATATTCAAAAAGTAATTTCTTTTATTTTTTGTTTTTTTCTACTAAGAGGAACTAATGAGAAACTTGTCCAACCACCCTTAATCTACTAATTTTTTATTTTCTAAATAATAAGGGTATAATATTAACTCATAAGAATTATTTCTCACCTTAAAAAAATATAAATTTATTATGTCACATCATATTTTAGCCACTTATAGTTGATTTTGTTCTAATAATTTTTTTTTTTAAACTCATTCTTTCTCCTATTTTTTCTCCTTATCTATTATTCTCTTTTATTCATTTTATAAGTTGCTTAACTAAGCAACTAACAAAATTTTTAAACAACTTGCTATGCCCAAGGAGTTCTCTAATGAAAAATTGTTTCCTGCAATTTCGCTTAAATATTTCAATAAATAAGAGATGTTTTAGTCTACCAACAGCTCGGCAAACCCAACTAAAACTTGAGTAAAAACCTGATAGTAATGATGATAAGCGAAACTAACAAATACAAAAAGTTGACTTTACAGCTAAAACTTGAGTAAACCTGATTGCAATGATGATAAGGGAACTAACAAATAAAAAAAAAAAAAAAAGAAGTTGACTTTAGGCCCTGCATTGTAACCAATTGTAAGAAGACGGGAGAATAAAGTCAAGGAAACACCTTTTGTGCAATATAGCTTCTTCTATCTTACGTATCCAACAGGAATGGCGAGCACTAAGCAACTACAGTGGAGATTTTTTTACAAAGATTATTTGCTACTATGAGAGACCTGGCCTGATTGGGTTTTCCGTCAATCGTCTCCAAACCATCCTCCCACAATGAACCAAGGTCAAGATAGCAATGAAATAAAGAAGAGGAATGCCAACAGTGCAACCACCAGGCGCCAGATTCACCAGAGTCTGAATAAGGAAACAGAAAATCAAAGTAAACAGTGTAGTTTTAAGCATTAATTAAAAGCAAAATTCACAAAAAAATCAGTTACATTCGTAAATCTTAATTCATAAATATAATTCACATTGTATGAAGGGGCCCTTTCATTATTATAGTTTTCATGTTTTCTGAAACCTACTCAAATTCAAGCAGACAGGTATCACTATAGAAAGATGGCTAGTGACCAGTCACAGTTGTAAATTTTAGGGCCAAAATATAATGCAAAGATCTTACCACCATTCCTGCAACAAGGTGAACAATGGGAACAAAATATCGATCCAATTTGTTCCCCTCTGTGTACCCATTAAATGCGATGACCATTGAGAAAGTGTGGATTGTGACAAATGCAAGAGCAATAATCGCTGCAATATATATAAGAAAACGGTGAACTAAGAGAGGAATAAATATTAAAAATATCATTTCTCAATTTAAAAAAAAAAAAAAAAAAAAAAAAACCTCAGAGCTAGTGCTGGTTATGTACAAGAATTGAGGCTCAATCAATAGGAAGGAAAGCGTTATTAAAGACTCTCATGAGGCAACTCTAATTCACACTCTATATATACTCACATTAGTGAAATAAATATGGAATAACTTGTTAGATGGCAAAGTTTTCAAAGTATGAAGCTGTAAAATCCCACATTACTCATACATGCGTACAACAACAAGCGGCGGGGAAACTCACCAGAAAGAAGGAAAAATGGAACTTTTGAACACCTGTCAACAAAATATGTTGCTGGACCAAATGCAGGAGTTAATAGACTGATGCAGAAGAACACAGCATGGGCAACACCGTGACCCAACCCACCAGCTGTGAAAAAAATCCAAAATAAATTTTACTTAAGAAAGACAGTTTATTATTCACAATATAGATCTTATACCAATAGGCAAATATCTTTGTTCAATAGCATCTTAACAAGTATTCAATTTATCATAAAATTAAATTCAATTAAGGATCTAGTTAAATGTCAATACAAATGAGGAAAAAAAAAGTAAGCAGTATCACCAAGGTTATTCTAGCAGCTGACAAAAGCAAATAGCTAATAAACTAGCCCAAAGTTGATCAAACAGATGCAATCTTCATAAGCTGAAAGCCTCCATTTTCTTACCCAGAGCAATCAGCATCTTATCTGTGAGGAGAAGATGTGGTTTTGATACTCTGTCAGCAAAGGCATCTAACATATCTTCTAATCTCCTAGAAAGCATCAACAGAAAATAAAATAGAATAAATAATCCAGAGACAAAAGGTAAAAGCCACATTGGTATAGCATATCAAATAACACACTTTGTACAAAATGGTCAGATTCTCCATCATATTGCAACATAGTTTGTAAAAACATAAAATAATAACAAAAACAACAACAACAACAACAACAACAACAATAACAAGGTCAAAGTATGAGTCCAGTCTTTATATCCAACACTCTTTTCCTTTTAGCCTACAAGACAAGTATTCACAGTTTAGTTCTTACTGTTTATATGTTATAACAGTTTTACAATTTTTCACATAGGAACACAGGAAAAAACCAGTAGGAACAAAAATATAGAATTTTAAATGTAGGAAGGATCCAAAATGAGGTCTTTTTCATGTAGATTCTGAAATGAAAAAACGGTGTCCATATGCTCCAATCAAATACCATCATAACTTTTCCGCAGAAGATAGGATTCAATTTGTAAATATTTTTCATATAGGACTAAATTCTATATTGTTACTTCTTCCAGTATCAACAAAAGTTTTACGTGATTTAGGAGTAGTGTAAAAGGTAAATTATATATACCCGCCTCTTTTTTTAACCTACCTTTTACCGTAATGGAAACATCAATCTCCGAAATCGACAATGGACAATATATACTGAGTGCGGTTATTAACTCTAAAGATGTTATCCAAACAAAAAATGGTGAGGTGTAGGAACCATATCTTTATTTAACCTATTAACAATACAGGGCATTTGAGAAGAAAATATCAGGAATGGATGCAACAATTTACAGCAGAACACTCAGCAATATAAGCTTACTTGTATATTTTCCAGAAGAAAAGCCTGAGGCCTTCTTGAAAAGTAACAGATGAGAATATTAGAATTCCAAAAGGCCACCAAGCTGTTGTATTTAGGGGCAAAAACCCCCTCCATATTCCAGATAGCACAATCAAACTGATAAGCCACAAGAGTGTACTGCATCCACAAATTAAATCAACAGAATGACATTTCATACGAATCAACACACAAATCTGTCATGTGAAGTCAATAGACTAATCTTGAAACCCTAACTTGCATTGAAGGGTGACTAATGGGGCAAACAGTAACATAACCAGGTTAAATTTCGATATTGCATGGGAAAACTGTGTGGGTTATATGAGATCGATCGAAAAGAAATGGAACGCGCGTACCTGGAGAGAACAGTGAGAATGAGGAAGGGCTTTTTGGAAATGACGGAAATGAAGAGGGAGAGAGAGGGTCCTAACGCTACCAGAGCGTAACCGATTCCCGCTGCTACCGTCATCGCTCTCTCTCTCACACTCTCTCTTCGGAACAGAATCTGAGAAGTAACCAAACACTTCCCAAACTCCTCTGCTCAGCACCACCACTCGATCAACACCGACTCACTCATCCCTCAATCCGAATCGCTATTCGGGTCGGTTACCAAAGCCCATTTTACTGTTGGGCTAAACATAGCTAATATCCGGAACTGGGCTGTATAAGAACAAAAAAGCCCAAAATAACGTCCTACTTTATTTATACTTACCTCTGAAATTAGCACCTGTTTCAATTCTTCCATAATTTATTTTAACTTCACATTGAAAGTAATTTATTCTACTTTAATTAATTGGGTCAAAATCCATTTTGATAAATATCCAAACGCGCACTTATTCACTTTACATATTTGAGTATAAAAAGATGTTAGGACACTCTTTTTAATACTTTTTTCTAATTTTTGTTATGACTTTCCATTTTCATTCAATAATTTATAAGTGCTCTTATTAATGATTTCTAATAAGTTTTAACTAATAATAGAGCTCAGACTCTTATTAACATTTCTCTTGAGTATTAATTTTGATTGAATTGATGTTAAAATAAATATATTTGAATATTTTGATGCTAAAATTAAGTTAATGATAAAAATAATTGTACATAATATTTTTTTTAATGAAAAAAATATTTATTAGTTATTTTAACTCAAAATTAATTTCTTGTCGTAAAATTAATATACGAAATTTTCCAAAATAACGTTGATAGGTGTAACGTAAAGCATGCGCTATTGAAGTGTTCAATCCAAGTTTCAAATGTGGTTTTCAAAAACCAATAGTTAAAACTGTTATTTCAAGTGTCATTTCTTGTGAAAATTGTAATTAGTAATTTAAAATACACATTTTATGGCCTAATGATGAATAGAAAAGAGTTAAACTTTATTCTATTTGTACAAATCAAACTTGAATGAGTTATTGTTTCGGCACAATCTGACCCAAAGAAATACCGAAATTTTTATTTTTTAATTAAATGCGGACTGTGCTCATGTAAAGCTGAAGATCTATATATCCATCACCTTCTAGAATCTCTAATATTTAATGACAATGGATCAGCAAAAATGATAGCAAAAACATAAAAATTCAACGGTGAATACAAGTATTTTTACAAAAAAATATACATCTCTAGAGAATGTAAGCCTAGTCATAATTTGGTCACAGCCATACTTGGGAATATGCATGCATGTACATGTCAAAATAGTGGCCGAAGAGGGAACCCAATTCCACAAAAAATGGTTAAAGCTTCATTTGTTTTTGGGAGTGGTCATTGTGAAGGCTTCTTGTTCAGCCCGGGCTTTTTGGACTTGGAAGATGGGCTTGAGTTTGAGGTCTCCTTGAAGGCAGAGGGACACAAGCTACTTACGCTGCATTCTCCACAACGAGGTCTTAGAGGTGTACAAATTGTTTGTCCAAATCCTACCTGTCATACTCAAGCCACAAAAATGGCTATAAATATTGAGTAATCAAACAAAACATAGTAAATGAATTGGACATACCAATAGAGGGTTTATTGGAACCCATTCTTCCTTTGGAAGCCACCGTTGCAGGGACTCTCTTGTCTCCTCAGGTGTTGAAGTTTTCTTGCAAATTGAACAACTCAAATTGAATAAATTCAGACATGCTACAAATGTCACATTCTTTTGTTTATTTGCTACTTCAAATGTGATAGTTTCTGATCTGATAATTTAACATGGAATATTGATTGTATAACAGTTAGAAAACAATTTGCATAACTTTTTTTCCTTAAAAGAAGAAAATCTAATGAAGTTCAATACAGCTGCACCTTTTTGCCAAGATGTTGCAAGAACAGATAAATGAGGTAAGAATGCCCCATACATAAAATGTGAAGATGCCAAACTTAAAGGAACCTGTTTTGTGCCCAATCTTGAGACCCACCCAAGCCGGTTGCAAATGCGGTGGACATGAGTATCTACACATATCCCTTGGACATTGTTCCATCCAACATTCATAACCTAATGTGCACTAACACTATTAACTTCAGAAATCTGATGAAACATATTGCTTGAATTAGAAAAGCTGTAACACGTACCAAATGAGCCATCTTAGGACCAATGCCTGGAAGTAACAGTAGTTGGTCAATTGAGCTTGGTATGTCTCCGTTGTACTTCATGAGACAAATATTTGCAATTTTTTTCAAGTTAGTGGCTTTTCTTGTATAAAACCCAACCTGTAAAAGATGCACAAAAATACAAACATACTTACCTCCCAGAATGAAGAATTACTTTTAAAAGAAATTGAATTGATAACATGCAAGCTAAGGATATGCAGAAAGTTTCACAAGTATCTTCCTTAACTTGAAAGTTGCCACTCAAATTCAAATTATTTGAATCACCAGAGATGCATTAACTTTAAAAGAAACAAAGAACATACAGGGTATATCAACTTCTTGACAGTGTCTTCATCAACATTATCGATTGCTTCGGCAGTAAGCAGATCATTTTCAAGAAGGCGTTGAATTGCTCCTATACTTAGAAACACACTTGTAACTAGAACTGTAGTTGAAGCATGACAAACATTTTCAAAGCAACTACCAAGTATGAATTCATACATCAAGACGGATGGTAAATAAAATCTTGGGGACAAAGGTATAATGTGGCCATTAATTGTTTAAGCTATGAATTAATTTGCAATATATTTAATTACAGAATTCAATCTATGTCAAGATAAATAGAAAATATCCATTTTGGTTTACACTCTCACCCTTAACTACTTCCTTCTACTAATACTTCTTGTTATATCATGTTTTATAGAAAATTATGTTCAAATTTCCAGCATTTTGTTTCTTGTTCTAGTAATGCCTTGTCATCTTTTAGGTTGTTGGAAACACCCTTCTAGTCTTCTACCATCATTCATAAGAAATGCTCTATCAATGTTCGTCTAAATTACTTGACAATGTGGAGAGGCTTGTTTGTATTTAACTTACAAATCCACTTTTAACAGCCTACAAGATGTTGGTAACCAGGTATTTGTCACCCATGCAAGCCTACCAATCTTTGGAGCTTTATCAGAACTCTAAAACACAGGCATATTGAACTTAGTACCCAAATCCAATCTAACCTAAATTCAAACCAAAACAAGCCACAAAATTCATCACTTCCTAGTAATAATCTCATATTTTAACCAATACTTCTCAATAAGCTGACATAAGAAACTTCTGCTACTCTGAGATATTTTACTTATGGAAAGTCAATGCTTCTAATCTCATACTTCCATAAGGAAAGTGTGCGCTGGGTATTTGGTAAAAGAAACAGAACATTAACATCTTAGAAATGTACAAAAGCCAGGAAACTTATCAACAATTTTTTTTTTAATTATAAGCTTCAGAAGGCATATATACTCACCATGAGTAACAGGATCCTTTGTTTGGCTAGATAAAAGAGAAGATACCAGGACAGCAAATCTTCTCTCCTATACACATGGAAAATTTGATAAGGGTAAACTTATTCACATCATGCTCCATATGAAGTATAGAAGTTAAGGAAGTACCATGCAATCACAACAATAAGAGAAAAAGAAATCCATCTGACAAAAAGACCCTTAAAATATGACAACCCAACCAATCAATTCAATACATGATTACACAAAAGGACTAACTAGTTTGGTCATCAACTCATCATCATCATCTACTAAATTGAATGAGTAATGGCTAAACCGGTTGATGAATGACTATAGGTTTGCCTATTCAACAGCATTCACCATGCTGTCTTTTTCTACCCCAAAAAGTTGTTTGGCAAGCCATATTCTATTCAAATGTATATGTAGTAATCACTTCCCTCAAAAGCACCAATATATAACCAATAAATAAACGATTAAATTTTCCCTACAGATCAAATTAACAGTCAATCAGACCTTAGGAGGTAATGTATCACCGGCTTTCTCACATCCCATGGTATCCACTGGTGCATCTGCAGAACACCTCATTTTGCGAATCCCCTCAAGCACCTTTACCCAGTGGGCAGGTGATTCACCTATATCATTCATGAAGTAAATAATTTAAGCTCAACCAAGACAGCTGTGAAGTAAGATAGTTTCAAATTAATATGTTTACAAAATTGATAGAAATTATTTCAACAATTAAATTTTAATTTCCAGGAAGAAACTAAATGACATATATTTCCTTAAATACATTCCTGAGGAAAAAATAAATATGGAATTTAATCAACAGACAAAAACAGAGTACTTAAATGCATACACAAGGAGACATGAAATTTAGCAAAATAAAAATTGCATAAATCTCAGCTTTAAATTAATATGTTTATTACATTATTGCTTGTGTATGCATTAAAGTATTATGGCAAAACCTGTAATTTTTACACAAGCATTGTTGAACTAGCCAGAGTCTGTGTTGATAAAACTAATTTTACTGATAGAGAAAGAGAAAGATATAGGAATAAAGATATTTTTATTCTTGTACTTACATCATTATGTACAGTGTCCTTTATATAAAGAAACCACCTAAAATAATAAAATCAAAATTACAATATATAAAATACTAACAACCCAATCCACGTATCAAAACAGAAAAGATATGGTAACAATAAAATCTAAAACAGAAGTCAGAGAAAACAGTATATTCTAACAGTCCCCCGCAAATCCAAAGTTATTGAAGGAGTCAATGACTTTGAGTTTGGAACGCAGAAGAGAGAAACGAGCTTGAGAAAGTGGTTTGGTCAAGATATCTGCAATTTGATCCTTGGCTGGAATATGAGTAACAACTAGGGAAGAATTCAACACTTTTTCACGAACAAAAAATATATCAAGCTCCATATGCTTGGTTCTGGTGTGTAACACAGGATTGTGACTAAGAGCAACTGTGCTTTGATTGTCACAGTAAATGATAGGTGTAGCACAAGGAATGTGTAATTCCTTAAAAAGGGACTGCAGCCACAAAATTTCAGAAGCGGTAATAGCTAGACTGCGATATTCTGCTTCAGCACTGGAGCGAGCAACTAGAGTTTGCTTCTTTGACCACCAAGAAACCAGATTTTTGCCAAAGAAAATGCAGGCACCAGAGGTGGACCTTCGATCATCAATGTCAGATGCCCAGTCAGCATCACAATAGGCAGTAAGAGTGTATTGGTCAGAACTGGAAGCAGGTTGAAGATGCAAACCATAGGAGATGGTACCCTTAAGATAGCGCAATATACGTTTGACTGCCTTCCAATGATCAGTCAGTCGCTGAGACATAAACTGACAGACTTTATTAACGCTGTAGCCAATCTCAGGCCGAGTAATAGTAATATATTGCAGGGCACCAACAATAGATCTATAAAGAGCAGGATCATCAAAATAATCAGACCCAAATCTAGTGAGTTTCAAGCCACCTTGAAGAGGAGTAGAAATGCCCTTGGCCTCATCCATTCCAGCCTTAAGAAGTAAATCTCGAATATATTTTGTTTGAGACAAAATGAGAGAGCTGTCACGGAGATGTTTGACCTCAATACCCAAGAAATAGTCAAGTTCACCAAGTTGCTTAAGAGCAAAAACAGCATGTAATTTAGAGATGATTGATTGTAGAAGAGTGGAGGATGAGCCCGTGAGTATTATATCATCAACATAAATGAGAACATAGAGAGTATCAACAGCAGTAGTAAGAACTAATAGGGAAGGATCACACTTACTCTGCACAAAACCAAAGCTAAGCAAAGTAGAGGTGAGCCTATCATACCAAGCCCTTGGAGCCTGTTTAAGACCATATATGGAACGCTGAAGCTTGCACACAAGAGAAGAATCTGTGGACTCGAAACCAGGGGGTTGAGTCATGTAAACACATCTTCATGAAGAATGCCATTGAGAAAGGCATTATTAACATCAACCTGCTGAATAGACCAGTGTTTGGTGAGAGTCAAGGTAAGAATAATACGGACAGTGACAGGCTTAATAACAGGTGAAAATGTTTCAGAATAGTCACAACCAAACTGTTGATGAAACCCCTTGGCCACTAAAATATTTATTGACCGTACCATCTAGATTCTCTTTAATGCGAAAAACCCACTTGCAACCAATAGCTGTCCGACCAGGAGGAAGATGAGTGAGCTGCCACGTATGATTAGCTAGTAAAGCATCATACTCAGATTGCATGGCTTGCCGCCAAAGAGGAGAGGAGAGAGCTTGCTTGACAGTAGATGGTTCTGCAACAGTGAAAAGCAAAGTGGGAAAGCGACGAGGCTTAACAATACCTGATTTGGAATGTGTTTGCATAGGATGAGTGGATGAAAGAGAGGAAGAACTAGGAACACATGCTAAGGATGGATTAGGGACCGGAACAAGAGGAGGATGGGACTCAGGAGGAGGAGAAGTAACAGAGGACTGAGACATAGGAGAGGACACAACAACTGGAGAGTTTAGAGTAGCATGCTGAGTGGGACTATGAATAGGACTAGGAATAGGATTAGGAAGGATGCCAAGGGGTAGGAGACGAGAAAAGGACGAGGGTACCAAAGGAGTGTGATTTTGAGTGGCAAAGGGAAAAGTGTTTTCATCAAAGATAACATCCTTAGAAATAAAGATTTTACCATTGGAATCAAGACACTTATACCCTTTGTGACACGAAGAGTACCCTAAGAAAGTGCAAGTCGTGGACCTATACTGCAATTTATGATGATTATAGGGGCGAGTATGAGGATAACATGCACAACCAAACACTTTAAGAAAATGATAATTGATTTCTTTATTAAAAAGAGTACAATAGGGAATAGGATGAGGAACATTTGATGCAGGGAGACGATTAATGAGATACACTGCAGTATGAAAAGCATGATCCCAAAATGTCATAGGTAAAGATGATTGAGAGAGAAGGGTAAGACCCATTTCAACGATATGCCTATGTTTGCGTTCAACAACACCATTTTGATGATGAGTATGAGGACATATCAAACGGTGATGAATACCCAAAGAGGTAAGATATTGAGTGAAAGGTCTAAATTCACCACCCCAATCAGTTTGGATTTCCTTAACTTTATGATTGAATTGAAGTTCAGCAAAGGTCTTGAATTGTTTAAAGGCGTTCAAAGTGTCAGATTTTTGTTTAAGAAAGTAAATCCAGGTATATTTACTATAAGCATCAATAAAGGAAACATAATAATGATATCCCATTGAAGATTTGACATGAGAAGGACCCCAAAGATCACAAAAGACAAGTTGTAAAGGTGTAGTGTAAGAAGTTAAGGAAGTATGAGAAGCTAATTGGTGAGATTTGCCCATACAGCATGCTACACAAAAATCTGCAGTAGTTTTATTTGGTAGGGAAACATTACATCGGTGAAGAACATTATGTAGAACAGAAACAGAAGGATGGCCTAGCCTATTATGCCATAGAGAAAACGCAGTGAAAGTGTGTGTGGGTACAGTGGAAACAGAAGGGGAAGGGGGAATATCAGAGACAGTTGACACATTTGTAGATGCAGGTTGGGAATGCAGCGGAAGAAGAGGAAACTGGTAGAGACCATCCGAACCAAGCTATCCAGTCAGCAATATTGAGTGATCAACCTGAGACTTAACAAAACAAAGAGTGGAATGAAATTCAAAATAAACATAGTTATCCCTAGCAAACCGACTGACACTTACAAGATTTTTATTAACAGAGGGAACATGTAATAATTTTGTGAGATGCAAAGGAACACAAGGATTAGAAGAAGAGAGAGTTGCAGAACCAGAATACTGAATAGGCAAACCTTGTCCGTTTCCAAGGAAGACACAAGCATCTGTGGAAGGCGGGATGGGATTCTGAAGGTTGGTGGAATCAGGGGTTATGTGATGAGATGCTCCAGAGTCAATATACCAATTCTGGGATTGTTGAGCGGGCACAGGCATTGAACCAGACTGAGCAACATAAGCATGAGGTTGAGAAGCCAGATAATGAGCCTGAGAGGGAGGCAGCATGGGCCGAGGCAAGGGTGAAAACCCTGGATGTGAGGGACCAGGAGAATGAGAGAGAACCCCAGGCTGATATGGAGAATAACCCATGGCGTGATTAGGGGGCGGAGCAGCAAAAGTCGGATTAAAACGATGATAGCAAAGAGCAGCAGTGTGACCATATCTGTTACAAACTTGACATTGAACAGATGCACGACCTCCACGACCTCCTCGACGATGCTGACCACAACCTCGTTGAAAATAGCCACTACCACGAAAGGTAGTAGGAGAAAAAGTAGATGAAGCGGGAGCACCTTGAGCGAAGTTAACACTGGGAGAAGAAGCGGTTGGAGAAGGGGCTTTTGTGAGATTAAGCGAAACCGTATCATCAACATGAAACTTTGCAAGCCGAGCTTCCTGAGCAACAAGTAAAGATTCTACTTCATCAAGAGAAAATAAATCTGGTTTGCTGTTTATGAGAGCAAGGAATGACTCATATTCAACCGGAAGACCTTCAAGAATAAGGTCAAGTTGTTCGCGATCGGAGACAGGATCACCAATGGAGCGAAGGGAGTGGACCAGCGTCTTGAGGGAGAGAAGAAAGTCATTAATGGTTCGTTCACCTTTCTTCATGGTGCGAAGTTCCGTACGAAGCTGACGAGCCCGAGCTTTCGTCTGAGAGGTGAAGTGAGCATGAATTTTCTCTCAAACCTGAAACGAATGTTGACAGCCAATGATTCGAGCCAAGAAGGAGGCCGATAAAGAAGATTGAAGCCATGAAAGAAGGAGTTGATCCTGTGTTTCCCAAGTGGTGTATTCTGGATTCTCAATCCCTAAATCACTATCCGAGATGGAAAGAAATTGGGGAGGAATTTGAGGGTTAACCAGGTAGCGTTGAAGACGATGAGCTTTGATGACTGGTTCAACTTGTTGTTGCCAGAGGAAGAAATTAGTATCACTGAGTTTCTCCGAGACAGAATAGGAGAAAAGGACAGGCGTGGTAGTTGCCATGGGAACAGGACCAGTACCCATAAAGAAGGTAACCTATGCTCTGTATACCATGTTGATAAAACTAATTTTACTGATAGAGAAAGAGAAAGATATAGGAATAAAGATATTTTTATTCTTGTACTTACATCATTATGTACAGTGTCCTTTATATAAAGAAACCACCTAAAATAATAAAATCAAAAATACAATATATAAAATACTAACAACCCAATCCACGTATCAAAACAGAAAAGATATGGTAACAATAAAATCTAAAACAGAAGTCAGAGAAAACAGTATATTCTAACAGTCTGCAAGGCTACATTAATTATTTCCTGGTCCCCAGATTTAACAATTTAAAAAGCATGTATGATATCAAACGAAGAGAGAAAACTTAAAAAAAAAAAAAAAAAAAAAAATTGTAACTAAAACAAAATAAGTTTGATCTAAATGGGAAAAACATTTTTAAAAAAGGAAGCAAATGGTCTAAGTTTCAATCTAAAATACAATGAATTACTGCTTCACAAGTTTGACACACAAAATTAGTACCTTGCTTGAGTATTAATGCATTTGAAATAAATTGATATCAAGGGGAAATATATGTGAATATAATTATCAATTTCATCATCCTAAAGCAGTAATTAAATTTTCATATCCCTATTGCTCTAAAATATCAATTAAAATATGTCAGATCTTTCTCACCATCTCTGTCCAGAATTGGATGGTTGGCAGCAGATGAGGGACTTGATTTTTTTAATTCCAAAGTAGGGGGAAAATATTGATGAAATTAAAACCAGGGACATCAGAGTCGAACTTTTGTCAAAGGTGATCTTTGGAATACTAGATGGAGCAATAGTTTAGTAAGCCATCCAGAAGAAGTTCATGGATTCTATTCACAAATGAACAAGAAGAACTAAAGAGTGCAGGTAACAAAGAAAGCATTGTTTCTCTCTGAAACTGTTTTCCCAATAAAGAGAGAAAGAAGACAGAATGCAGATTATTTATCTTAATAAGCAAACACCCAAAAAACTTGCATTTTACAACTACATAATCATTTCTAATTCTTACCCCCAGGTCTAGTTGAAGGAACTTCACTTGCCACTGAAGCCACATCCGATTCCATTTCAGATTTCCCTGGGAAAAAAAAAATAAAAGCTATTTATATGAGAACCCAATCCTTCAATCAAAATAGATATGACATGAGAATGTTTGGTTACTCCAGTGAGTAACTAGGAAGGCGGTGTCAAACACATTCAAGCAAACTTCTTATTCTAATCCCTGTCGAATATGATAGAAAAATTAAAGATAGCTAGCAACCACCTTCTCCACTTGGTACACACCAATATTTCTTAACCAATTCCAAGATAGTACAAAGCAGCTAATAAATAAGCACCAGCATTTTTAACTTTCTACATTTATACCTTTCCAAAATTATTCATATGTTCCTATTCCGTTTCTCCTCGGGTAATACCATGAACCGAATCAGTTTATTCTTAAATCACTATAGTAAACTATGAATGGTTCAACATGCCACAAGTTAAAAAAACAGAAAATATCATATCAATCAACATTGCAAACTAAAGAGGTTCGTACCACGCCGAGTCAATTCATTTGCTCCACAGTACGCAAATTCTTCAATTTCTGGAAGGCCAAACTTCTGTGTAACCGAAACCTGACCATATAACTCATTACAAGTCAAAAACCTTATTATAACAACACGAAAAGCCAAGCATTCGTAACTTAGACACCCATTGATCCATTTATGCAGAAACAAAAGTAATGATGGAAAAGTTGACACCTTGTGATCCTGGGCCGACGGAAGATGGTCCCCTTCTTCAAGTTTGACAGACATTTTTCTGGGTTTTTTATTTCTCCTGACAAAGACGCGAACTTTGGAGTGGGAAGCTTCAACCATGGAAGTGTGTGTGTTGGTATTGGAGGGAGTGGCTTTGCAAAAGCTTCGAGTTTTCTCAGACATGATAACGCCCAAAGGAGGAGAAACTGAAACGACCACGCTTCGATTTGAGAGTTGTATCAGAGACATGCAGTTTCTCGGTTAACTAGTTGTTTACCCTCTCAAACGGGAAGGTGAAATATTTTGATGCGTGAAATTCTATCCATTTTTCTTTTTGGTTGATGAGAATGGAAATGGTTTCTATTTCTTCAAATGTTAAAAACAAAAGTTTCTCTTATTATTAAAATGATAAAATATTTACGTCAAAACGATAATAAAAAATATTATTTTTAAACAATTCTTTATTTTTTCTACATTAGATTAGTATTATTTCTCACTGGTATTTTATTAATATTACTAATAGAAACACCATTTTTTTCATTTTTTAAAAAATATCTCCAATAGTTTTTTTGTAAATATTAGTTGAATTACCCTCTATTGATAATAAGTATAGTTTTTTTTTTCATTTACATTAACAATATTATTTTTCTCGTTATAGTAACTAAGGTTTTTTAATAAACTAGAGTGACATTATTTTTCGTCTAATTTAAATTAAAAAAAATAGTTGAAATTTAAACTATTTCTCTTACTTATTCATACAATTGTTGAATGAGAACATTTTTTCTAATCTTAATTGTTATTATATTGTTCCATACGAGTGACAGTTTTTTTCATCCAATTTCAATTTTAAAATTGGTTAAAAAATATGACTAAATTTTAAAAAACAAATCATAATTAATATAAGATTAAATAATTATAACTAAATATAACTAACAAAATTATAATTGAAAATTAAGTAAAGCTACTGAATTACGAGTATTTAGTAAAATTATTTATTGAGATAGTTTATAAATGTAAAAGACATAAACAGACACATTAAATTTATATGTTTATATGAGTTTTGGTTTAAAGTTTTAACAAAAAATATATTTTGTGATATTTGTATTTTGATTTGTAATTACTTTAGATAGTTTTTTTTTGTTTATTTGTAATTATTGTAATTTTCATTTGGTATATTCTACTGTTATTGTAATATAAGATTTTAAAATATCTCAGGTCGATTTTAAAATAAAAATAACGTACTTAAGTAATTATCATTTTGTTTATCATGATATGTATGAGGTTAAAATATCTTAAAATATAATAAAAATTTACCCTATTAAAAAAATAAACACATTTTAATAAATATTTCAATACAAATATTAAAAGTTAAAAATTATTATATATAAAAAAGTTAAATATTTGTTTATTTATCTCTGAATTTTACATCAATAAAAAAAGTTTTTATTTTGAATAAATTTTCACTAATAATATTTAACTTATTTATTACATGATATCAATGTACTACTAAAAAGTTCTATATTTTAAAGGATTTTTCTTGTAAATTTGACATAAAATTTTGTATGAAACAAGTTTTCTTTCAATTTTTTCTAAGTTTTAATTCGCAGCTAATTTGCTTCTTGATAATTAATTATCTAGAAAAAGAAAATTCATAGATAATTTAAAAAAAAAAAAAACAGATTTGGGACGAAATTTTTCTTGCGAAAATTCAAATTCAAATTGCTGAAACTATTCTTGAAAAAATTATATATATATATATATATATATATATATATATATATATATATATATATATTGTATCAAAATCATTGTATATTTAACAAAATATTTTATAAATTTATCTCTACATTTTATTTAATTTATAAATATTAATGTATTAAGTGGTAAAAATATATTTATAACATAAGTTTAATTTAATTTATTCTTATTTATTATTGTAAATATAGCTTAATTATTTCATTTTACTTAATAATAAAGTAATAATTATAAAATTTTAATCCTCTTCATTTTTTAAATAGTATTGTTACTTAATAAAAAAATATAATTCATGTGTTTAACACAAAAAATATATAGTATTTATATAAATAAGAAAATAAATTAAAAAACAAATATATAATTAAATAAATTTTTAACTATATATATATAATAAAATATTTTTTATTAGAAAAAATGTACATTTTCGCTGCTTGATAAAATTTATTATGTAATTATCATTACCCTCTCCTTCAATGTCAATCTTATAATATTAAAATGACACAATTTAACAAATGTAACTAAAATATCAATAAAAATATAATATATTTATATAAACATATTAATATTTATATTTACACACAAAAAATGAATATGTTTTATACAAGGATACACTCACATAAATACTAATAATTAATAGTATTAATAATATATAATATTTTTAGTAATATTATACCTTATCATTAATAATATTAATGTTATATAATTTGTTTAATGTTATTATACCTTACATTTAATAATATTAATTAACATACAATGAACACTTTTTAGTATTATCTTACCTTATAATTTGATAATAATACTAATGCTATACAATTTGTTTAATACTACAATTAATAATATTATTTAACATAAAATTAATAATATGATTACTATACAATTATTTAATAATATCATACCTTATAATTAATAATAATATTGATATTATATAATTTATCTAATATTATCATATCTTACAATTAATAAAATTATTAATATTGTATAATTTATTTAATATTATTATACCTTACTATTCATAATATATTAATATCACACAATATGTTTAATATTATTATATATATCACAATTAATAATATTAATAATATAATTTATTTAAAATTATTTTACTTTACAATTAATTAATAATATTCAAAAATTATGAGTACATGTTAGAAAATATACGTTTTTTTCAACAATGATAACTTAAACTCTCCTTAGTATCAGATTATTTCAAGTCTCAGAATGTTAATTATATTTATGATAATCATATCCAAAATTAACATAATTTGTCCAATAATTATAAAACGTATACATCAAAATTAATTACATTAATACATTTTTACTTTTATTTATTTTTAATAAAATTAATGTTATAAATTTTTTTGGATTAAATTATCATATTATATATATTATTTATTTTTTAATTTTAATTATAAATATGTTGTCATCGCAATTTTAATCATTTTATCTTAAAACATAGAATTTCCACTGGACAAGTCTTTAATATTGGTATAATCTTAATTTTTAAATGTCTTTAATCATTTGAATTTGAAATATAATATTTGTATTTAAAAGAAAATGTAATTAATTAAAATACAAATAAAATTAAGAATTGAACCAGAAATTAAAAAAAAAAATATTTATCACCAAATTATTTATTGCAAAGTTTGCAAAAGACTCTTATGCACCTTTGAGTAGTAGAGTGTTTATTGTATATATAAGCTTTAGCAACATCAAAATGCAAAATGCCCACATAGTGCAGTGTCGAATGTATGAGTTTATACTTTGAACAGAGCATTTTTACTCTTTCGTGAGTTCTTCTATGTTCTCTGCAATTTTATTTTTATACCGGAACTCTTTCGAAAAACTGTGTGAATTAAAGCCTGTCGATTCTTATTTTGTCGCTAATCGATCAATTTTTTTTTTATGTTTGTCTTTTTTTCGCCAGATTTTCAGTGTTTAACATAGCACGCCCATTGGGGTGTTTATAGGCTGTAAATACGGTGAAAAAGTGGTGCCTGAAGAGATTGAACTTGAAAATTGAGTCAAGACCTTGTTTTTTCTTTGTCTTTTAAAGAGTTGTGGGAAAAGTTTCTGAAATTGATTGCTGGTGAAGTTTGGTTTTAGATAACCATGCATGTTCAGTTAAAGGAGTCTTTTATTATTTGAATATTTGATGATTTTCTTTAATTTGACAAGGCGATTCTGTTCTATTTTTTTTTTAGTGTGATCTTGGTTGAAAAGTGAATTTAAGATAATTACTGGTTTACGGACTGACTTGCCTCTTTAGACATGGTTTGTTTGTGCACAAAGTACTCGTGCAATTGTTTTTTCAAGTTTATTCTGTCAAACAGTACCTATTGTTTTCTATGTTCTCATACTTATGTGACTTTTGAATTTTGATCTTAAAAATCACTTCAGAGAACATGGTTCCATCTGATGTGTGTCCCACTGAGGATGCAGTTAAGTCATTCATAGAGCACTTGGTTGATCCATTGCTGCCGGCAAAGTCATCTGTCCAGGATAATCCGTCACTGTTTCAACAGAAGTTAGTTGCGAAACAGGTATCTACATTTTCTATCCTTAAATAACAGCCACATATATAATTTTCTACCCTTAAATAACTATACAATGTATGTGATTATTTTGTGGACGTTGTTTTCTGTTATTCTGTTCTTGTTTATAATATTTTTTTATTACTTGTTTCAAGGATTATTGACGATCTTGGTTTTAAGAATTATTAATGCATTAGAAATTGTTTTTACTTATATGGTTTCCTTAGTCTAAGCTTTTATTTACATTACTTCCATGTTTTGGTTGTATGAGTTTTGAAAGCCTGTTTAATAGTTTATGTTTGTACTCTAATTTATTTTATATTTAGAACTCTTTTAGCGGAAATACCTTGTACTTAAACTAAATGCTATTTCATTTACGGTTGTCCCCATGCGTCTATAGATTTATAAATTACAATATGATTATAGATCTATAGGAGTGCATGAGGAGGATGTTATCATCTATAGTTACTGATTTTCCTGTTTGAGTTTTTTTTTTAGGTGCGTTCAGCTGTCTTACTTTACAATTACTACCACAGGAAACAGCATCCAGAACTAGAATATCTGCCATTAAATGAATTTTGCAAGTTGGTTGTGGTTTTGAGGCCAGCTTTATTGGCATATATGCAATTCATGCAAAATTCAGACGAAGAAGAGCTAATTGATGTGGAGAAGCAGCTATCATTGACAGAAAAGATGATTATGGAAGCATGTGATGTTTGTAAATGTTTAGATGCATCAAAGAATGTTCCTAATATAGAGGGATGGCCCATTACAAAAGTAGCTATCCTTTTAATTGACAATAAGAAGGAGAACTGCCTTTTGCAGTTTAGTTCCATTACCAGTGGGGTATGGTCTCTTGTTGAAAAATGTCTGGACACCTCCAGCCAAAGTTCTCTGGTTGCAAAAGGTCTGGATAGCTCCAATCAAAGTTATGAAGTTACATCAGAAACAAAACAATACAAAAAGAAAAGAGTCCTTAAAAAGTCTACAAAAGATGGATTTAAAGTCAGTGAAGATGTGTATCTGCAAGTTGGGTATTTTTCTATAAAGGAAGTCACAGGTAATTATTGCATCCTTTTATTGTTAATGTTTTAATTTTAATTTTATCAAGTGCTTCTGATAAACAAATAGAAGAATATGATTCTTGTACTTTGGTACAGGTATCAATAATACTGATATTTTGCTTTTGGAAAGTGACACTGTCTATTCTGAGAGCAAAGAGAAGCAAGCTTCTCGGTTTTATATAATGCAGTGTTCCCGGCAAATCAATGAAGAAGTTATTCAAATTCCTATCCAAGATCTAATTAAAAGGTTGGTTTTTAATTGCCATTGTATGATGACTCAAGATGTTCTGATCACAGGTTTTATGTGTCATACATTGAGGTGGAGTCATCCTTTTTTTTTTAGCTCCACAGAAATAGACTCATGCTCATACTACATTACTGCACATTAATGTTACTACTGATTCAGGATATGAATGGTTACTTGTAGAGTTGTATAGTCTATTTCTTCTACAGTAATAGATTTATTCTTAATTTAATTCTTAGATATTTGTCTCTTAGCATTTAAATGACCTTCACAAAAAAGTAAAGCTGTCTGTGTACATATGTTTCTAAATAACATCTGCGTGTTCATTTTGCATAGCTTGCAGGGTCCTTTGGTTACTAAGAATTCTAGAAGTTGGATGATCACTCCAGTAATCGACTACTTCCATGTGCTTCCATACCATGAAGTAATCTTAAAGTGGATATCCAGGTTGGCATGGTTTTCCTTTGTTTAGAAACCTTTATTTAGATTGTTAGCAGTATTTTGAATTCCATATTGGTTAAGCAATGCTATTCCACTCCATGCTTCATCAATTACACTTGAGGTCATAAGTTTGACAACATATGAGAATTAGTAAAAAGTGCAAATAATGTCTGCTCATCAAATTTTCATTTCAGTTACAAGGATTGTGCCCGTGGCACCTTTTTAATGAGTCTGTTTTGGTACTTTTAGAAAACCAAATTCATAGTGGGATTTACTAATGACCTGAATTATTAAAAAATCCTTCTGTTTCTACTATTCTAGCATTCTCTGAATTATTAAAGAGATTTTTTAGTGTTAACATTTTAGAATTGTCATCGTCCACTAGTAGTAAAGTAGAATTAATGTACTAGAGTTCCACATATTGGTGAACCCAGTTGATCATCAAGTGAGCACCTGCATATTGGAGGATTTGCAGAAATTTGTTCCAAGCTCTCATACCCTTAATACAATGTTTCTCTATTTTCAGTCATTTCCATTTTATTTTTCGTCCCTATCTCCATGAGGTTCACTTTCTATGTAATATATTTTATTCTGGCAGAGAAGAATTCTCAAATAGTTTGCAAGATTCAAGGGTAACAGAGAAAAATATAACAGTGGACACCCGTGAAGTAGCAGAGTTTTATGTAAATAAGGACACATTTATTGCTGTTAATAGTAAGCCAAACGATGATAATATTGATTCACCGAAACGGAAAGATAACAGAAGTTGCACACCATCATTATCTGATTCTATATATGAGCCCATGGAAATGAGCGTGAATGAAAATTCGAATTTAAAATCTCAGGACAAAGAAAAAATCCAGCATATTATTGGCAAGAGTGTACAAATTGGTGAAGATCAAGAAAAAAACAATCCGTCTCCAAAGTTTAATTATGATGGCTCTGCAAGTGCTGTTAAGGTATGAAACTTGGTTACCTTTCTAATTGTTTAGTTTATTGCTTTCCCTAAATCATGTTCATATGTGCTTTCTTTGATTATCTTTTCTCATAATTGTGTTTGGATGAGTTTTTTGGGACGCGGGAGTATTTAACAGCTAAAATTATGACTTTTTTAGCTATATTTTCTTTTTGCATCTGACAAAATATCTTTTTTTCAAAACACACATTGTGTGTTGTCTTAGGTAACTTATAATTTTGCCTTGATGCAAAAATTATCCAAAATTGAAAACTTCCTATTTTATGCACATCATATTGATGCCGTATTTTTGGCATGTGTTCCATAAGGTTACCTATAATTTATCTATACAAGAATACTTAATGTAAAAATACTCCAAAATTGAAAAACTTCCTATGTTCATATAGCTGCCATACTTTTGGCATAGCGGGCATTACTGTTTCGGAATATATGCAAAATGTCTGGATTGCAATCAAATTTACATTCAGAATCATTGTTTTTTGTCCAAAACCATTTGAATTTTGAACCTACTAAACAATATATCTATTAACCTTTTCTGCACTAATTTATGTACATCTGCACAAATGAAGTACTGAAGCATGTCTCAACTTTAAAAGAGAAGTTGAGCCAAATAATTTAGAAAAGCACATGAAAAATGAAGTATCTTTATTTTCTGCTAAGCTTGAAAAAACGTGGTCAAACACTGCCTAAGAGAGTTGCATTTTGTGAATAATTGATGACTGTATTGAAGATTTGTGAGTTGAATATGGTATCTGTCCCTGTGAGCAAGAAAGCTTAGGTATGTGGTAGTAATTATGAACTTATGACCTAGTTATAATAGTAAAATTTATCAAAATGTTCCCTATATTTTATTAATAAATTCTCCTGTATATATACGAAAAATTCTTTTGTAAATATTAATTTAGTCTATTTAAAGTTGTCAAAATGGTTATGTTCAATACTCATGAAATATTATCGGTCTACTATTCTATTGATAAATAAATATTATCATTAATATGTTGCTGATTATGTAAGGTTTCAAAATGAGGTGTTTTTTCAATATTTATTAACTCAGTATATGTTTCTAAATGAGCTGCACTTTACTTCTATCATGATTCTTGAGCCTAATTACATTGTTTTGGCAGGCTTTAGATGTTGCTCCAACAACTATGCTCATTACTGAAGGTGGAATCAACAATCTTTCTTCCTTACACAATATTTTTGCCAATAGGCCCAATACCTCATCTGAAAAAGGCACAGTAGATGGCTGTACTCAGATTGCAAATCATTCTAACTCAGATCTAGAGAAGCTCAAAATTCTTTCAGATTTGATGACTCAAACTGCCCTAGCTGCTTTGATACGAAAGAGGAATGAATTGGTAAAACATCATTTCTTTCTTCTAATTACAGGAACGATTATACTTTAAATACATGTCCAGTAGCTATGATGGGCATCGAGAACATACAGCTGTTACCCGAGAATAATATATATATATATATATATATATATATATATATATATATTGCTTAATCCACACTGTCAGTGAAATAAGTTGTTTATTTCTATTACAATCCTTTGGACATGTTAGAATCCTCAATTAGATTTATTCTATATTTGTCATATTAGTCTAAAATAGGAAAACTGAATATTTTGTAATTATGCTCATTTTCGAATAAATTGAATAGCTCCATTGTACTCTAAACTCACATAATTCATCTTTGATTTTTCTATTCACTAGAATTTCCATAATTTTTGGCTTACCTACTTCAAACTAATAATTTTAAAAAATTCATGCTCCCATGTGTTGTGACTGTTAAAATAGTGTTCTGCTTCCATAGTCATAGCTACCATGCTGGTTTTACTTAAACTTAAGGATTACATTGCTACTATATTTTGAATGTTAAAAAATTATATATTTTTATGTATCTTAGACAATGTTACTCCATTCAGGCCCTTCAGCAGCGCAGGATAGAGGACGAGATTGCTGTTTGTGATAAAAATATTCAGAGAATGTTAAGTGGTATGTTTTCCTTTCAGTGTCTTGTGTTTTGCTTCTCTGGTGCACTATTCTATCAGTATGACCCTCCCCCCGTCAATAGTCAGGGTTTATCCTCTCCTTATCGTTATTTTTGTTATTATTATTACTAGTGTTATTTTGCTATCCATCAAACTCTAGAGAAAGTCTGGTACTGGTTTAGGCAGTGATTGTTGGCTTCTTTTAGGCATTTTTCTCATTTCATTATTAATCTTTGAATTTGTGCTTAACGCCATACTTTATCCCACCAAAGAACGACCACTTGTATGATGATTCAGGATCATTAGCAAGGTGTCTGGTTGATTAAATTCAACATTGTTTTTATTTCTCCTCCTTCCCCCTTTTCTAGGGTCTTAGGTCTCATCAATTAAAAGAAATCCTTTGTATGGTATTGGCATTGGCATATGAAGTGTACAATCATATATACATACATATATATATATATATATATATATATATACATACATACATACATATATATATATATATATATATATATATTTGTGCGTGTGTGTGTGTGTGTCCAAGAAGCAGTTTATCAAATGAGTGCTTATCCTTTGACCACTCTAATTGATTGCTCGACAAACTCAAGCTGTTGTGAGTATCTTTTATTTGGTATGTTAACAATTTAATGATCACCTGCTCCTTTGCATCTGAAGAATCTTCGCAATTGAATGGTACCTGATGGCTGATTATGCTATATTTGCAAATTGCAATTCTTTTATGTACAATCTTGATGAGTTTTTAATGCTAAAATTAGTTAGAACTTGAGAAAATAATTGACTTGTGAACTGTGAACCAGATACTGGCGTGATTCAGTATCTGGTTCATTAAATTGAACTGAGAACAAATACTGAGTTTTCTTGTGTCTTTTTGGACAAACGTAGATGGGGAAGACGACTTTAAGTTAAAGATTGAATCAATTATAGAAGGCTGCAACGGTACATGGCTAAGTAATCAAGAGAGGGTGTTTGGACAACAAAGCTTACCTCTTAAGAGGAAAAAATTGTCAGAGGCTGTCTTTTTCACACAAAGTCCATCCCAGGCAAGTCATATTCTATTTACGTACTTATGTTTCTACATTTGAATTTTGTATGACTATGCTAAACCTGAAAATATGTTTTGTTGGTTTATGTTTCCTATTTAATAGGTCTATGTTTATGTTTGTAGACATGGTGCATTAATATGAATACTAAGTAATTTTAGAAATTTGTGTAAAAGGTGAAAATGTTGTCACTTGTATGATGCTTTATTATTCAATTTAGTGCTAATTTCTTCGAAGCATTGTTTCTGGTAGACACAAGTACTGAAACTAGAATAAAATTGTTGAAAAAGCATTTCCGTTGGGTATGTTAATTGTAGTTGACTTGAACAATGCCCTGCCCCCGTGGCCTTGTTTACACGCAATTGGCTTCTTCTTTACAATTGTACACATTTTTACTGCTCATGAAAGCTCATTTTCGATGGATAAGTTATCAATCCATGCAAACTCTTCAACGACATACCCAATTACCGGTAAAGATTCTTCCAAAAAGTGCAACATGAGAGAGGGTAACTTTTTCCATTTTGTGTTTTGTACATCTCTGTGAAGCACCTCAGTTTGAAATATTACTTACCGATCTTTGTCATGGATCTTTTCTCTTTTCTTGTGTGACCTTTTTCAATAATATACATTTTGGGGTGATAAAGATATAACCTATTAATTAAACCTTTTGTAAATCTTACAGGAACTAGATGATATATGTCGCAAAAACAACTGGGTCCTGCCAACTTATCATCTATCTCAATCAGAAGGTGAGTCTATCTAACATAGACTTAAAAAGCATGAACGGCATCAATTCTCTTTATGAATAACTGCTCTTAATGAGAAATAATTAAGATTTGTTCATTGCACATTTTGTTCACTTTATAAATGGCCAGGTGTTATCTACATGTATCATTGAGATGTGTTGGGCAACCTAATCTGACAAATCTAACTATTGTTTCTTTTGCAGCTGGATTCAAAGCTAAGGTAACTGTTAAAGGAGTGGAGTTTCAGTGTTCATTTGAAGGGATAGTGGGTTCCAATCCTCCTGAAGCAAGGGAATCAGCTGCAGTTCTGATGTTGAGTAACTTAAGAAGTATGGCAAAATTAGAACAGTGATATTGGAAGCTTAGGGATGACTTGTACTTTGCTGTTATTAATCTGTCTCTATAATTACATAATTACATTAATGTTCATCTGGTTATATTATTATAGGCGCATTGATGGATTAATTAATTATTTCTCGGATCCAGATATTTAAATCTTACATTGATATACAGCATATTAATGTTCATCTTATTATAGTCTTTTCTTAACAGAAATTATATTGATATACAGCATAGTCAACCTATATATAGCTTTAGTATGTGTATACTAATGGGTTCCATCCAGCTAGAAGGATTAGGACCCAAAATACCCTTTGTTTATTATTGGTTGTTGTTTGAATCATCGTAGAATTGGTTGCTTCGTATAACCTAGCCAAAGAAAATGTTCCTCTAACTGTATTGGCTGAAAACATACATACCATCATGTTTTTTTAGTCTTCCCAATAAACAACTTAGCATATATTATTCTGTCAAATTTAGTCTCATTTTTATTGCATCAATTTCTTCATGGTATTCAGAGTAAACCTGATCAACTCAACCATGAGGTCTTCACTTAACTCCTCAAATCTATCTGTCAATAGTGCCTTATATTCATCCTAGACATCATTAGAGAATATGATGCAAAATGAGTCATAGCTATGTGTCACTACAAATCGTTTCCCTCCAAATGAATAACTGCAACCTTAACATGAGCATTATCGAGGGTATTGTCAATCGAGAAATAATTCTCAATGTATCAATTGATTAACATTTTCTTGTTTGAGAATTATGGACTCCTTTCGATCCCACACTTTCATGAATACCTACTTCTTCATCGACATGGATCTTTAACATTTCTTGAAATTGATATTTAAGAGTTTTTGTTAACTTCTTTTGCATTGATTATGTGAACTTCATCATTCTTGATACCATATATGAATGAGGATGTTCTTCCAAGTCCTTTTCTACCATTTATAATCCCACAAATAATAACAGAACACACTTAAAGTAGGTGTAATAGAACACGAAGATGACTGAAAGAACAAGAAATTAAAAACTTAATTTCAAATAGATTGCATTAAGAAGATATACAAGACTGTGTTTTGATTACAAAAGTGTTATGCAAATCTCTCATATAATTAGTCTTATATAGATGCAACAACTAATTAACGTATAAATACTCTCCTAATAGCTAACCAATTATTATCATAACACACAAATAACTTCAAACATATTTTCATTCTTCCATTTTCGTGTAAAAATATATTTACAAATAAAAAATTTAAGATTATCAAAAGTAATTATTAGAATGATACGAAAATTTATTGGTGTAATTTTATTTAGTTGTTGTTCATATAATTTAAACAATAAATTTTTTTGTTTTTTATCATATTATTAAGTATATTTTATCTTTCTTTTCTCTCCTCTCTCGTTTATTCTCTTTCTCTCTATAAAGTAAAATTTGGTATATGAATAATATATATTTTTTTGTTTGTACGAGGGAGGAGTAAATAAAAGAACAAAAATGACCCACAAACAAAATAAACAAATGAGAATGAACATGACAAGAAAAAAAAATGAAAAACACATAACACATGCAACAAACGGTTGAGAAGCTAGTGAAAACAACAATTAACTTCTTTGAACTTGTGGCATATAGAAACAACTCAATTATAAGAAAGAAAAAAAAAATGTAAGAGATGACATGACTTCTAAAAGCAGAATAAAAGATAGAAGCATTTTCCACAAGAAAGCAATTATCTATAGAATCTAATCTAGAGATAATTTTGTAGGTTATTAAATATGTTCTAAACATGACTTTGTCATGCTCTTCAAACCGCGAGGATAATAATCACCTCAATTACCTTGCATATTATATCATTATTCTGATTGTGTCTCATATCTAGTTACTCTAACTACCTAACCTATTTGTGGATAACATAAATGCCCCAAAAATATAAAACTAAGTTCATGTTTGGCCTTGAAATACTTTAATAACTCTAACATGAGATATTTGCCTTACATGTACTTAAAATAAACTCCATGATAACTACTTCAATATCCAGTATTTTCAACCTCTTTACATCTTCTAATTTTTCTCTTTTCAAGTTATCCTCTTATATTAATCACCTTATTATAATAAACATCAAAATTTCTTAAAGTGATTTTCTAATTAACTTGAGTCTAAATTAGAACATCTTCTCGACTCTAGTTATTAATATTACTAATAACTTGAAAAAACTAACGTTCAAGTGCTAAAAGACATATTGTTAGAGTTGTTGAATGGGTTATCCACTTAAAAAAATTGTCGTAACATATTTAGAAATTAGTCATATTTTTAAGATTAACCTAATCTTATCGACCAACAAGCCATATTGACCGTTTTTTTAATAAAAAGTTAAAAATAAAATATATTTTTAAAACTTTAGTTATTAATGTTAATCTTTTATATATATATATATATATATATATATATATATATATATATATATATATATATATATATATATATATATATATACAATAAAATAATATTATTTTTATTTTTATTTCAAAAAATAATTATTATTTTATAAAAAAAATTATTCCATAAATATATAAGTTGTCTTTTTTTATAATTTAATTTATTTTTTTTGTATATTTTGAGTCCATTCATCATATTAAATCTATTATCATATAAAAAAAAATATAAAGAGGTTCTCATTATATTAAAATACGAAAAATATAAAAAAATATAAAAAGGTTATTATTATACTAAAATACGAAAGATAATGTATATATATAAATGTTTCAAATTGGAATGTATAAGTTAAATTAAACAATCATGTACATTTTTACCTTTTTAGATAAAAGCCAAATTAGGGAATGCATGGAAGGTTATGCAACTCCAGACCATTTGCTATTCAAAACTAACAAAAGTAAAATTTGAACATTTAATTTATCAAATCCAAAGTGGAATATAAAAATAGTTATAGGCATTTATAAGCTTTGTGACCGTAGAAAAGAAGAGAAAATCGGAGGAAGATTTGAATTTGAAATTCGATTCTTTTTTGTCTAATATGTATGACTTGCATGCCTTCCGTGGGTGTTACTCCTTCTTGGGTCGTGTAATTTCCTTCAAAATATGACCTAAGTGATATCCCATGAAAGGAAGATGAGACTCAATCCCCGAAATGGACAAATCCAGAAAGAAGAGTGTGTCATAAGAAAATTATTGTCTAAAGAAAATACCTAAACAAGAAATTTGATAAATAAACAATAGAATTGGAATATATCACATTTTTAACAATTCTTCTAAATAGAAAGATCTCTTCATATTGTGCTAATAACAAAACTTGAAAAATAAAATCCTTTTAATTGTCGCTTATAAAAAATAAAAAAATATATAAGATTTATATTAATTACACTCAATAACATGTAAGGACTTTAATCATATTTCAGCTTCTAATCAATCATATATACCTGCAATAAATAAATAAGCACTCAAAACGCTGAAATATATTGACTATTTTTTTTGTCAATTTTAAATCATTTCAATATAAACATGAATTGGTTGAATTTTATTGACTAACATAAATATTCTTTTTCATTAACATAAAATTAAAAAAAATTGATAAAAACTAACAAAATGTGATTTATATCATTAATCTAATTTGACTTGAGGTTGAAAATTTAGCATCTGAGGATAGTAAAGTTGTGTAGTTACCTTTCGGATAACTATTTGCATTTAGCATCGAGAAAATGAGTGGTAGCCAGTGAACATAAAATAATATTTATAGTGGCTACTGGTTAAAAATAAAAGAAAAGTTCTATCCTCTGAATCGCCACTAGCAGTTCGAGTATGCTGTTGGCGTAGTATCTAATCCTAATATCCTTATAATTTCAATCATTCAGAATATAGACTTTCGCTATAAACAACTGTGGCTTTTGGGGATATGGAGTTGAAAGGAACTTTCGTACTCAATCAAATTACATTCAAATTAAAAAATCCCGACTTTACAGTAAAATTCTTTCTTTTTTTTTTAAATCATTGAGAAAGAAGGAAAATGCCAGTAGTTAGAAATTTGCATCATCCTCTACAAAATTCAACAAAAACTTCAAAACCGAAGAGTTAAGATCCCCATTCACTCCCTTACTTTTGGTTTCAAACACGCCCTTCATAATTCTCGTGTAAAGTCTTTCGAGTTGTGGGATGCTGAAATTTTCACTACGCTTCACAAGAAGTTCCTTGACAGACTCCACTTCTCTCGAAAATTCACCATCTAGCATTGTGACATCCTCGGGACTGTTGCCATCTGCAAGGTTGTTTGTACAAGTTCCATGCAAGTTTCCTTCTATTGGTATAGGTTCGAGGCTTTCAGAATTTGTATCATTAGCTTGATGCTCCTGGGAAGACTTTGGCAGTGCAGAATCTTGGGACTTGTCTTCTGCCATAAATACAATTTGAATGAACTTCAAAATCAGTATTTGAACTGAGGTTTACTAACTGGTAATCAAGCAACGCTATTTTATTAGAAATGTTTTATTTAAGCACATAACAAATACGTGACAAGCAAGGAATCTAAGTAGTATAGAGAATCCACAAATGTCTCCGTATTCACGACTATCATGCATCATACCTGGATGCACTTCGGTGATCTTCTTAGCTCGCTTCAACGCTTCATAACTCTGATCTACGTTAACCTCTGGTTGGACATGACGGAGTCGAGCACTCATTCTAGTACCAGCACCCAGCTGCACAACAGGAGTAGCAGGGAATGTAGAATCCCCTAATTCATCAGACAACTGAACTGGGCCACCTTGGCTAGCAATCTTGTCACAATATGCAACCAGTGCTGGATCCATCTGTGAGAGCATCCCATGCACCTGAAAAAGTAAAGAAAAAAAAAATAAGATACGCAGGAGCATTTGCTAGACAACAGTCAACATCAAACTGTAAAACTTAAGACGAGAGAAAGTCCATGCACCGCATCACGGAGCTCACAAGCTCTACTGACAATCCTAGCACCACTGTAATCATCTCCATTGTAGGCCTGAGTTACAGAAGAACCAAACTTAGGACATGCTTTAAATATTAGAATTATTTTATGAAGCATTTTTCAATATACATAACCCAACCGCTCCCCCAGAAAAAGTTAAGGCACAGA